GGATGACCAGAGACTGCGGACACAGTACAGGGATGACCAGAGACTGCGGACACAGTACAGGGATGACCAGAACTGCGGACAGTACAGGGATGACCAGAGACTGCGGACACAGTACAGGGATGACCAGAGACTGCGGACACAGTACAGGGATGACCAGAGACTGCGGACACAGTACAGGGATGACCAGAGACTGCGGACATAGTACAGGGATGACCAGAGACTGCGGACACAGTACAGGAGATGACCAGAGACTGCGGACACAGTACAGGAGATGACCAGAGACTGCGGACACAGTACAGGGATGACCAGAGACTGCGGACACAGTACAGGGATGACCAGAGACTGCGGACACAGCACAGGGATGACCAGAGACTGCGGACACAGCACAGGGATGACCAGAGACTGCGGACACAGCACAGGGATGACCAGAGACTGGGGACACAGCACAGGGATGACCAGAGACTGGGGACACAGCACAGGAGATGACCAGAGACTGGGGACACAGCACAGGGATGACCAGAGACTGGGGACACAGCACAGGGATGACCAGAGACTGGGGACACAGCACAGGGATGACCAGAGACTGGGGACACAGCACAGGGATGACCAGAGACTGGGGACACAGCACAGGGATGACCAGAGACTGGGGACACAGCACAGGGATGACCAGAGACTGGGGACACAGCACAGGGATGACCAGAGACTGGGGACACAGCACAGGGATGACTGCAGACCTTTGGGGAGGGAGGGGGAGCGGGTACCTGAATTTGACAGGTACCCGCTCTTACTTCCGCAGAGTTTTTTTTTTTTTTATCTTACCTGTTCCTCGATCCAGCCGCGCGCTGTCTTCCCGGCTTCTGTAGTGTGGGCGCTCGTCGGACAGCCGGATGCCCAGTGCGCATGCGCGAGAAGCGCTGCGCTTTGTGATTGGTCCGGCGGCTTCTGGGATCTGTCATGTGTCCCAGGTACCGCCTTACCATTCACAAGGAGCACTGCTTCTTGTGCATGCGCACTTGGGACCTGGCTGTCACGCACACTACAGCCGGGAAGACAGCGCGCCGCTGGATTCTCCTGGCGTGCCCACAGATAAGGCTCGGCGTGCCGGCTGTGGCACGCGTGCCACGGGTTCGCCACCACTGATCTAAGCTATCAGTGTCAGCTGTAATTGATAACCATTAGCTGCATTAAATATCAGCTGGTGGCCCTCAAAGGGGTGAATGTTTATAATCCCGTCCCCACAATGAAGCATTGCACAGGGTATATCTTTATAATAATAAACTTTATTTTATATAGCACCTGTAAAGGTAGCGTCTCAAAGAAAACACAAGTAATACATAAGAAAAAGCAATGGAAAAAAAGAACAATTAAGTGAAAGCTTGTCTAAAAAAAAAAGTTTTCAGATTTGATTTGAATGTGTCAGGGATCCGGGTATGACCAGAAATGTGTGGGAACACAGGCGTGGTCAGGGCTGGAGAGGTGGAATGGTCAGGAAGGCCGTATGGATCTGTAATGCACCGTCTGGCAGTACCTCTAGCAACCCACGGAATAGGATTCCCCAGAGTGCAGAGTCTAAGTCCCAGTCTGCTTGTTCACCAGGGCCCCTGATGGTGGGGATGGACTTGGAGCAGACAGAGACCAGGTCGCGGCCCCTGAGTACACCCACCCATGGTAGAGGGATCCACCAGAGGTATATTCTGGAGGAGAGCCTGACGCGAAGAGGCGGATGGGTCCGTGCAGGACGGATGGATGGCTGAGCAGAAACGTAGTCAGACAGGCTGGGTCGGTAACGGTGGGGACAGCGCGGTACAAGGCAGCAGGCACAGAATAGTCGGGTCACTTGCCGGGTCAGTAACAGAAGATCAGATCCAATGAGGGTATCCAAGAGAAGTCAGACAGGGTAGGAGAAGTCAGCAGAGGTCAGGATCAAAGCAGATACAGCAAAAAATCAGATAGGCAGCTATGCAGGAACACAGGATACCAGGTACAGAGGCTCATGGGAAACAACACCAAGGCACTGACTGCAGGTCTGGCCATTGCTTAAATACACCTCCTGCAATCAGCCTCAGGTGATGGCTTGATTGCAGGAGTGAGATTCTGGCTGCTGAGAGCACCCGCTGGCCAGCACTGGTACTGCAGCCCACAAGGCAGGTGAGTCCCACCACCAGTGGCGAGTCCATTCCTGACAGAATGAGTTTAGAGAAGATGACTCTCTGATGGTCCTTGGAAGTGAATTTCAGAGTTTTGGAGCATAGCAGGAGAAGGCTCTGTCTCCCATTGAGTGTAGGTGAGTAGGGGGATTACAAAGAAGACCAGAATTTGAGGAGCAGAGGTAGGGGGGCAGTAAGTAGATACAAGTTCAGACAGATAATGGGATGCCAAGCCATGAAGAGTCTTAGGCTCCATGAACACGGGGCGTTTTAATAACGCTGGTAACGTTAGCTTTGTAAAGTCCCGTTAAAAACATGAGTTTTTCAGCGCTTTTTATTGTTTTTGTATTAGCGTTTAGTGGTGTAATGCCACGTTTGAGGTTTTTAGCGTTTTTTAGAGTTTTTCTTTACCAAAAAACCGGTTGCCGCATTTTGCTGTGTTTTTCAGCGTTACAGCATTTTTACAGCTAACAAACTCCTCTAGAAACCCATTAGTTCTGGTTTTTTTTTTTTCCAGTCAAAAAACGCCCCTGCCAAAAAACGTTGATTACAGTCTGTGTGCATGGACACATAGGATAACATGCTGGGGAGTTTACTGGATGTAGAAAAAAGCCAAAAACAGCAGCTGTAAAAACGTCCAGTGTGCATGAGGACTTATATGTGAGCAAGAGGATCTTATCCTAATGGTGGACAGTGGGGGATTAAACGAATAACTTTAAATGGGGAAAGCATAGTTTGTTTTTATTATGTCGGCTATTATTCTAGTATTTACCCAAAAGTACTTTTTTATGCCATTGACATTTTTACACGCTCTCTTTCATATTTTTGGTATTGCATTCAGTGTGGAGATTTGTAGATTTGCCACATTAGATAATCTACTACAATGACTTCCAGCTGCTTACAACTATTGAGATGAGACATCAGCCACACAGGGAGTGCTTTATTTTCAATAAGTTAGCTGATTAATAAGTTTGCATTGTGAGAAGAAGCAGTACAGCAAAACCACTGTGTAGTCTGCAAAGCAGAAAAAGCACAGCCTGCACATGCAATGATCATATATGGCTGCACTTCATGCCCACATAAAGTCACAAATTATATGTAAAAAACAGTTTTTGAAACATGAACATATATTGATCAGACTATTTACATCAAGCTTATCTCGTTTACATGCTAGGACAGGGCTGAGAAGTGGTGAATTTTCGAAGGCAGAATCTTCCCCTTCGACCCTCCTTATTATGTTCAGGTGTGAGTTCAGAGAGTGTATATTGGAGTAATAATTCAGAGAGGAGGAAGGCTCTCTATGGCTGATAAAAAGCAGGAGGACCAGATTAACAACAAGAGTAAGATGAGAAATACCTTGTCATGCTTAGGGAAGTGCAACTTTTTTTGTTGAGACTTTTTTGCTTTATGAAAGAAGAAAGAGCAGGCTTTTCTTTTCTCAAGACTTTTTCTGAAGCCTGTTTCCCCCCCCATCCCCACAATGCATATACAAAAAATGGTAAGATACTTTCCATTTAACATATAATTTACCACTGAAAAATGATTTCACATTCTGCAGTTGTTTCTAAAAGCTTCTCTTGAACCTCTCTCATCTCTTTCTTTGGGGCATATCATGTACAGTATTTTTGGTGTAATATCCCGTCATGCCACATGAACTTGTCCAGATGTATACATCATTCAGGATTCAAGAGGTTTGAAAAAGATATCATGTCTCCTGAATAGCATAGCAGACTGAGTTATAAGGTGAAAAGATATTTTCACCTTATTCTATTCCTCCCACTGATCGCTTGTTATGGATTCCATTCTTCCCACTGAGCATCAGTCATGGGCCTCCATTTGTCCCTCTAACTACCAGTCATGGATCTCCAATTTTCCCTCTAACCACCAGTCATGGGCCTCCATTTTTCCCACTAACTACCAGTCATGGATCTCCAATTCTCCCTCTAACCACCAGTCATGGGCCTCCATTTTTCCCACTAACTGCCAGTCATGGATCTCCATTTCTCAATCTAACCACCAGTCATGGGTCTCCATTATTTCCACTGATCACCATTGATGGGGTGCTATATTCTGCCCAGCAATTATGGGAAATCATTTCTCCCATTGACCTTTTGTTGCTGAGGTATTTATTACACTTACTGACCACTGACACCATTGCATTTATTACTCCCATTGACCTATAAAGCCTGGACATTTATTACTCCCATTGACCTATACAACCTGGACATTTATTACTCCCATTGACCTGCTAAGCCTGTGCATTTATTACTTCCACTGACCTACTAAGCCTGCGCATTTATAACACCCACTGACCTCCGAAGTTTGGGCATTTAATAATCCCACTGTCCTCCAATACTGGCCAATTATTTATCCACTAACCACTAATGCTGGGGCATTCTTTACTTATACTGACCAATATGGCATATTTTAGTCCTAATAATGTCCAACATCAGGGTGTTCTATATTATGCCTACTGGTCACAGTCTAGCCTTCAAGCAGTTTACTGGCCTTTTGTTTCAAAGGTATGAGGTTCTAAAAACCTCTTGCTTTTAATATCCTGGAGTTTTCATTGTAAGGTGAACTGTCTTGCCCAAGATGTCTGTTCAGTCTGAAGCCAATGATAAAAGCTATAAAATTTAAATAATTTAAACATTACCATCTCACGAGTGAGAAGCGTGTTAGAGCACCTTATCTCCAAATCATGTGTCATCACTTCAGAATCAGACTCATATCATTACTTGCATATCCTACATTTTATGACAAGTAATATGATCTTACTCTTACACAAAACATGGGAATATAGCTTTTTTTTTTTTTTTATTTATTTTGTGTATGGTGGTACAATATCCAGGTTGCTATTGTCATGTCATACCTCTTGAACTGCAGGGGGCGCTATACTTTGTCACCGCAGAATCGCCTGAAAGAGAAATGCATATTGTATATCACGTGTTTGTTTTCACCCTAATCCCCAGCTTGCCTATAATTAAGATAATATATTTAGATAGTAAAAATGAAGGATTTTTAGCTATATGAAGGGACTGTGTGTGATGCTAACACATGAATATGCTGGGAAGAGAATACAGGAGATAAATATGGGTGAGAACAGAAGGGAAGGTTATGTAGGCTGTTCTGTTTCATGGCGTATCATTATACTAGGCTATTATACAATATGAACATACAGAATGCCTTATTACACACTAATCATTATTTTTGAGTGCATGCCGGCAGTGCATCACAATTGTTTTCCAGCAGAGTCAAAACCAATGCCATTAGGTGTTTACACATTCTGCAGAATTATAATATTAGAACCTTGAAGTGACTCCTTTAGATCTATGTCACATGGGCTTCAGTTTATATAAGAACAGTGTGAAAAGCAAGCTTTTTTGAAGCTTTTGCAAAGCATTTGGCAAGCTTTAAGTATCCTTCTCTTCTCTAAGCCTTTAAAGCGCCATTCAGCTCATGTTTGGAAATGTTATAGAGAGATCATAACGGGAATGCTGATTGTCACTTTAAACAAACTGCTAGCAGGCTTCAGCAGACTTTCAACAAACTTCAAGTAGTGCTGAAGCATGCTAGCAGCTCGTTAGGATCCCGTTAAGATCTGTGTTCAACATTTATAAACTGGAGCTGAATGGTACTTTTTAAAGCTTCAAAAAAGCTTGCTGAAAGCTCTGCAAATGCTTTATAAAAGCTTGATGTTCACACTTCTCTTATACAAGTTGAAGCATATGAGAAACGGGCCTCATCATCCCGGAGATCCCATCTTTGGAGAGAGCCGGAGCCTAAACACACCCTGACAGCCCTGATACCTAATGTAATCTGAATCTCCTTTTGTGGAATGTGCAGAAGCCTAAAGTGTATGTCCAGCTCAAAGGTTTTCTAGATCAGTGAAGGATTAGAACCCTTGCTATTTGGGTTCTGTAAGAGTTAATGTTTTAATGGCATGCCAACGCACCTTGCCAACAGAAGTGCACTGTAGTGCAACGGAATGCATGGTAAAATACTATAGTGGTGCACTGAATTTAAAAAAATAGTACCTGCACCTTTTTTGGCGTGTTTTTTCGGGAGCTCACTCAAATTAATAGACTGCCTTTACACAATGCACAGTAATGCAACTTAATGCAGATGATTACTAGAATGCCATGTGTTGGCACCAGGGCTGTAGATAAAGGGGTACCACCAGTCCTCCTGTATGGGGCCCAGGCCAGCAGGGGGGCCCAGGCAGCTGGATGAACCGGGTGTGGGCAGGAAGCGTGATCGTCACAGCGGGGGGGCAATTACTGGAATCGATTCCTTGTATGGCAGCAGCTGAATTCTTCTCCTCTCCCTTCTGCTGGCTTTCAGCAGCTACAGAGAGACCCATACAGGTGATCGGTTTTAGTATTTGCCCCCCGCTGCACCCATCACCCTCACTGTGCACCATACGTTTTCCCCTGCTGCCCAGGCTCCCCTGAGTGCCCCTCTTCCTGCAGTGCAAGCACACAATGGGATCCTTCAGGATGAAGAGTGGGGGAAGGGTCCACTAAATATGTCGCATTTACCAGCCCCTTTCTTTCCTGAATGAACACACTGAATGATCGATACTGATCATTCACTGTGTTCATTCATAACAGAAGCACAGTAAACTATGTTTTTGGGGGGAGGCCCTGTCAGGTTGGCTGTATGGGGCCCTGTGGTTTCTAACAGCAAGCCCTGGTTGGCACAAAGTCCTATAGGTCCCATTAGAAAGAGCAGTTGTGCAAACAGACCATGCTAGTCCAGAACTGCTTTCATGCTTAGCGTGGTCAGGAAGCCCATAATACAAAGTGGGGACTGGCAGGATCCCTACATCTGTGACCCCCCCATGCGATTTCCTTAGTTCAGTAAACCCCAATTTCCACAAGTTAATCTGTGTATGGGTCATCTGGTAAAAGCATGCCGAGAAGAAGGGTACCTGGCTCATAGTAGTCAAAGATCCTGGCAGTGGCCGGCTGAAGATTGCTCACAGGAATATCCTGTTCAATGGAGAACTTAAAATTCTGTATGTCCTTGGTAAGCTGAGAACAAGAATGGGAAAATGTGTAAATGTCTTGAGGTCTGACCTGAAATATACAGTACATCCAGGTACACATCATATGTAGTTACATAGTTAGTCTGGCTGAAAAAAAACAAAAGTCCATCCAGTTCAACCATAGAAAAAAAAAAGTTATAATCCTATACCCACAGTTGATCATATTATATCAGATTTTCTTTTTAGAAATGTCACAAGGCCTGTTAGGTGACTACTATTGTACAACTTCAATTATTCCATTTCTATGACCTATAATTAATTGAACCCTAGGACTCATGAGCTTTGCTGAGTGGATTGGCTTAGCTTTGATTTAAAGGGGGCATGCCGCACCACAGCAGAGGGGGGCTCCCCTTGTTAAACTGTGACTGGAATGTTGTACGTTGTGTACAATAGGGTTCAATTGGACTTTATTAACAATGCAGTAAGGCACAGTGACCCATCAAAGATCAGGGTGGAATATCACCCATGAGAATTTGGAACGCATTAGTCTGACTTTTATAGGGCCTTTGTTAAAGGGCTTCTATTAGCTTCAAGCAGGATTTGCATTTCCATACAAGTTTAATGACAATGCAAAACCTGCCTGAAGCAGATAAAATGCAGATCAGAAGGAGGTCAACTGCAGTTTAAATGCACCTGTCAATGCAGTGGTGATCCTGCAGGGAAAGGGAGGTGGTCCACACCAGGTACCACCACTTGGAGAGAGAATGGCATTTCATGCTTATTAATGAAAATATTTGTAATGTTTGTGGGGAAGGGTGTTAAAAAAAGGTTAAGGTCCTACACTGCATTATTAAATTATGAATACAGAAGCACCTAAAACTGATGTCAAAATGGTGCCATCAACACAAACCCGGAACCCATACACACAAGCCCTTAAGCTAGTGGAAGCTGATTGGGTGCCATGGGTTGTAACAAAGCATTGCTCTTTAGACTATATTGCGTAGTTATACAAGTAGTAATTAAAGGCCAGCTTCGGTTAGTCTTCAGAAAATTAAAAACAGAAATTTTAAATGTGAGATTTATAAATACTGTATGTGACTCTTCTCTTCTGCTTGAAACTCATCATATAGACAGGAAGTGAGGAGCAATCTCCCAAATAGAACAATAAAAAGTTGACCGAGGTTTTAACCTTCCCATATTTTATCCAAACCAAAAGAAATCTTGGCTAGGCCTTGGATTTTACATAGAACACATTCTCCATAAGGCCCCATGCACACTGGGCATTTTAACCCCTTGCCTACAGAGCATTTATACCCCCTTCCTGCCCAGGCCAATTTCCAGCTTTCAGCGCTGTCGCACTTTGAATGAAAATTGCGCGGTCATGCAACACTGTACCCATATGAAATTTTTATCATTTTTTTTGTGACAGATAGAGCTTTATTTTGGTGGTATTTAATCAACTCTGGATTTTTTCATTTTTCTTAAACAAACCAAGAACCACTGAAAATTTTGAAAAAAAAAAGTTTTCTTAGTTTTTGTTATAAAATTTTGTAAATAAGTGATTTTGCTTCTTCACTGATGTGCGCTAATGAGGCTGTAGTGATGGCCACTGATAGGCTGCACTGAAGGACACTGATAGGTGGCACTGATGGGGAGGCACTGGTAGGTGGCACTGATGGGCATTGACAGGCATCACTGATATATGGCACTGATATATGGCACTGATAGGCGGTATTGATAGGCGGCACTGACGGGCACTGATAGGCGGCACTCATGCGCACTGGTAGGCGGCACTGAATGGCACTGATAGGCGGCAATGACTGGCACTGATAGGCGGCAATGACTGGCACTGATAGGTGGCACTGATTGGCATTGAAAGGTGGCACTGACTGGCACTGATGGGTGACACTGAAAGGCAGCTCAGATGGGCACTGATATGTGGCATTGATGTGCACTGGTAGGCACTGATACAGTATGTGGCATTGATGTGGCACTGATGGGCACTGGCACGTGGCACTGATGAGTACTGACAGCTGGCACTGATGGGCACTGACAGGTGGCACTGCTGGGGCTACACTGATCATCAGGGCACACTGATCATCAGTGCCCTGATGATCAGTGTACATGTCCCCTCCGCGGAATGCCGATTACCGGCTCCTCTCTTCTCCTCTGTCAGCGTGACAGCTCAAGAGGAGAGAAATGACAATAACCGGCATTTCCCTGTTTACATGTGATCAGCTGTGATTGGACACAGCTGATCACATGGCCGAGCCGACCGAGGGACACAGCGCACCGCCGATTGCCGCACTGCACGCTCCCTGAGCTGCGCATGCGCGATGAGAATGGGAGGACGTCATGACGTCCTCCCAAAATGAGAGAACCGCCTTGCGCCCATCATTTTACTATATGGCGGGTGGGAGGAGGTTAATAACGCTGGTAATGTTAGCTGTGTAAAGTCACATTAAAAATGTGAGTTTTACAGCATTTTTAGCGTTTTTGTATTAGCGTTTAGCAGCATTTTACTGTGTTTTTTCACATTTGTGTTTTTTAGATGTTTTAGTCAGAAGAAGTCCAAAAACGCTGGTTTGCCGCGATTTACTGCGTCTTACCACATTTTTCAGCGTTAGAGTGTTTGCACAGCTAAAAAACTCATCTAGTAACTCACTAGTCCTGTTTTTTTTTCCAGCCAAAAACGTCCCTGCCAAAAAATGCTGATTACAGTCTGTGTGCATGGACACATAGGATAACATGCTGAGGGGTTTACTGGCTGTAGAAAAAAACGTCAAAAGCCAAAAACTGACGCTGTAAAATCGTCCAGCGTGCATGAGGACTAAAACTGCAATAACCATTCTATTTATTCCTACTTATATAATATGTAATGTAGAGACTGAGGTTTTCACATTCTTTCAAGCAAATTTTACAGATGTAAAAGACTTCCAACCTTGTAGCAACAGTTTCAGAAGGCCCTCTTCTTTTCAGCCCCTGTGCACAAAGCTGGGTCAATAAAGACATGGCTTAAAGAGTTTGGTGTGGAGGCACTCAGTCCTGACCAACCCTATCAAACACCTTTAAGATGAATCAGAATAACTGCAAGCCAGGTCTTCACGTTCAATATCTGTGCCAGACCTTACAAATGCTCATTTTGCTGAATGGGTACAGATTTCTATATATACTCTCCAAAATCTTGTGTTATGCCTTTCCAGAGGAGGGGGGTATGCAATGTTTTTTAAGTTCATATCATAGGTGTGATGATAGCTGTCCACAACCTTTTGTCCATGTAGTGTATTTAATTGCCTTTTCACTACATTCTAAGTCCCTCTAGCCCACCCAAATACAATTTTTTTTTTCTCTTTTTGTGACAAAATGATAAGGCCGTCAGGAGTTGACTGTTTCAAAAATGTATATTCACTGCTGGCCACTATTTCACCAATTCCCCAACATAACCTGGCAATATCAGGAGAGGAGAGATAATCAAACACAATGCACCAACCCACAATGTAATCAATTTTCTGATCAGTGTTCATCTTTTGCTTTTCTTTGAAGCACTTCTTGGAATAAATACACTGCTCGAAGAAATTAAAGGGACACTTTTTAATCAGAGTATAGCATCAAGTTAAATAAACTCCTGGGATGTTGATCTGGTCAGGTAAGTAGCAGAGGAGGTTGTTAATCAGTTTCAGCTACACAGGCAGTCCAACTCCTCCAGGATGGCACATCAATTGGCAGAAGGTCTCAAGAACATGGAGGAAATTCCAGGAAACAGGCAGTTACTCCAGGAGAGCTGGACAGGGCCGTAGAAGGTTCCTAACCCATCAGCAAGACTGGTATCTGCTCCTTTGTGCAAGGAGGAACATCATCCTGAGCACTGCCAAAGCCCTACAGAATAACCTCCAGCAGGCCACTGGTGTAAATGTCTCTGACCAAACAATCAGAAATAGATTTCATGAGGGTGGCCTGAGGGCCCGACATCCTCTAGTGGGACCTGTGTTCACTGTCCTACACCATAGAGATTGATTTGCCATTGGACACATGCTTTTCACAGATGAGAGCAGGTTCACCCTGAGCACATGTGACAGATGTGAAACGTTCTGGATAAGCTGTGGAGAATGTTATTCTGCTTGAAACATTGTTCAGCATGACCATTTTGGTGTTGGGTCAGTGATGGTATGGAGAGGAATATCCATGGAGTGATGCACAGACCTCTACAGGCTAGACAATGGCACCCTGACTGCTATTACGTATTGTAATGAAATCCTTAGACCCATTGTCAGACCCTACTCTGGTGCAGTGTGTCCTGGGTTCTTCCTGGTGCACGACAATGCCTGGCCTCATGTGGTGAGAGTATGCAGGCAGTTCCTGGAGGATGAATGAATTGATACCATTGAATGGCCCCCACACTCGCCTGACCTAAATCCAATAGAACACCTCTGGGATATCATGTTTCAGTCCATCCGAATCCAGCAGGTTGCACCTCAGACTGTCCAGGAGCTCAATAATGCCCTGGTCCAGATCTGAAAGGAAATACCCCAGGACAACATCTGTTGTCTCATTAGGAGCATGCCCCGATGTTGTCAGGCATGCATATAAGCCTGTGGAGGCCATACAAACTACTGAGTACTATTTTGAGTTGCTGCAATTAAATTTCAGCAAAATGGACAAGCCTGCTGCATCATTTTTTCACTTTGATTTTTGGGGTATCTTTGAATTCAGTCCTCTGTAGGTTGATAATTTTTATTTCCATCAAATGCTGGGGCATCCTTATGTAATATGTGTTATATAACACATTACCCAGTCCATATCAGTAAAGATATCCAGCATGATATTTTTCCCCATTGAGATCTGATGTGTTTTCAAAGTGTTCCTTTAATTTTTTTGAGCAGTGTATATTACTTACTATAGGAAACTGGGGTGGATAATCTTTTAGTTCGTTGTAAGTCAAAAGTGTGTTCAGTTAAGTTGTCTTCATGCTGTCATCCCGTCACACTCCATATAGTCTGCTGCTTTTTTCTTAGCTTTGTATGCAGACCATGGAACAATCATGACAAATAGTTTTTCTCATGCAGATTTTTTAATTGTGTGTAGATATTGTGAAGCAATATATTCTAATGTCATATAATTCACTCATACTTTCTTACCAATCCTACACTCAGAAACTTGTTATAAAAATTACCTTTTCGAAGTAGACAATAACTTTGTTAGGATGGCTTTCTGTCTTCTTGATTATTCTGTTGATTGACAGCTGTAAAAAAAAAAGAAGCATGTGAAATGTCATGTTTTGTCATGGCAGGGCTGCCAACAAAAACCTATCAGTATGTTTACCTGTTTGACACTAGCCTTTATTGGGATGTACCCAGATGGCAGCTTTATTTCTGCTATCGCCATGTTGGAGTTCACACGACTGCCAGTGTAGCTGTAGGAAAAAAATGAATTCATTTTAAAGGAAATAGTGATTTTGTATACAATTTTATTGTTGTCAGGATATATAAGTTGTAATTGTTTTTTTTGGGGGGGTTTGTCTTTTTTTTTTTTAGTGAGGTGAACTATTGCTCTCAGATCCTTTTCACATATTTGAATTTCAATTAATCTTTGACAAAAAAAAAAATGGAAGCTGTTTGGTTGTTATGCAAAGCTGCACTAGATTTTACACTCTCCAGTTTTAATAAATCAACCCCATTGTTTCAAGTAATTTTTGTTTCTTTTTAAATATCTTATTTACCTCTTTTTAAATATCTTAACAGTTATGAAAATGTATAATTGAAATAAGTATATAAGTAAAATGTATATTTTTACATACTAATAACTTATTAAGAACTAAAAAAAAAAAAAAAAAAACCTATTAAATTAAAACATTGTTTTCTCTTTAACAGAAATTGACTTTTACAATGAGTCAAGTCTGTTTTATTTTTCTGAATTGTGCTGGAAAACTACTGCTGAATGGCTTTCAAGGGCAAACCAGACAATGAATATATTCTATGACAAGTCATGTAAATCATGGTGCCACTACAGGTCTTGTTTGTGCTCACAAATGACCCAAACAGATCAGCCCACTGCTGCAGCCTCTTCTTTGCTACAAAGTTACAGTGTTCTGGGGAAAATGCTTTCTCCTGCCTGCAGCAGACAGATGAAATCATCTCAGTCTAAGCCAGGGGTCTCCAAACTTTCGAAACAAAGAGCTAGTTTACTGTCCTTCAAATAGTAGGTGGGCTGGATTGTTGCCAGTAGGAGTAAAATGCCCAGGCATCCATGGGAGTAAACAATTCCATAGGTTTGGTGGTAAGTGGGAGTAAAAAAAATTACATCATTGGTGTCAGTGGGAGGAATAGTACCCCATAATGGGTGTCAGTGGGAGAATTAGTCCCCCGTCTTTGGTGTCATTGGTTGGAATAGTATGCCATTGTTGGTGTCAATGGGGGGAATAGTGCCCTGCCTTTTGTGTCAGTGGAAGGAATAGTACTGCAAGGGCTGGATAAAGGCAATCAAAGGCCACATCTGGCCTGTGGACTGCAGTTTGGAGACCCCTAGTCTAGGCAAATTCACTTGACAGGAACTCGATGACTATTTTATTAAAGTGTGCCTAACTCACAACAGTAAAATCAGTCTGTATATGCAGTAAAGCATGCTTGTTATACTCATTAAGGGGTTAATTCTCTTCATTGTGTAAAAACGCTGTTTGTTCCTGACTTCTATGATCCTCCCCTTTTTCCAGTGTCCCCCTCTTATCTTCTGATGAGACATATCATGTGGAGTCACTCTGCACATGCTCAGTTTGGTGTGTATTGTTAGGTTTTTTTTTTTTTCTTGGTAGAGTGCATGTGATCAGCACAGGGCCAATCAGCACTGACCAGACAGAGGTCAGGGGTTCTGCATCCTCCTACAGCAAAATGAAAACTCCTTCTACAAGCTTTAACCAGTGCTCAGCTGGACACTGATAGAAGTCACAAGACTGCTCTAACTGCTGATGAGAGGTATTTAGCACTTTATATTCTCTAAAATAATTGCACTTCCATGTTCTATGTTCTGTGATAGACCAGATATAGTGAATGCAGGGTCCTGGGTTTATTAACACTTTAAGGATAAAATGTGTTGCTTTTGGAGGGGCGGAGCCTGAACATGGCAGTGGCGGAGAGCACGAGATAGAAGCTCTCCGCTAAAATTCCCCCACCCAGCCTCCCCAGGAACCCCATCCGAGTGGGGGATTTGTTGAGATAAGAGGTACCTGGAGCGTGGGGACCTCGGCGGTAGTGCGGCGATCCGGAGACGGGGAGAGCGGGGAGCTGCTGGCCAATCAGGAGACCCGGTTCTCAGCAAGTGAGAGAGCCGGGAAGCCGGGTTTCCGTGGAGACAGGAGAGCGGCGTGACCACAAGGTCAGCCGCAAAGGAGCGCTGGGAAAGGAGGAAGCCGGCCGGCGTCCCACAAGGAGCGGAGAGGGACAAGGCGGCTTTTCTGAGTACCCCACTGTCTGGATATCCGGACCGGAGAGAGGCTGGTGCTCTAAACATACCCAGGAACCACAGACACCCATATGGGAGAAGATTCAAGGAAGGAAGGAAATATAACTAAAGCTACCTTGTGGAATCCCCCAGGAAACCGCTCTGAAAACAGCAGCTGAAAGCCAACTAGCTGGATGGTAGCAAGCTGGAAACACACTGAAGAGAAGGAAGGGAGAATTGGGTGAGTGGAAGCAGCTTGAATTGAACTAATGTTTTATTACACCCTATGTCTTGATTTTGAAATGGTATATAAGAACAGAAGATGAGAGAGATGAGGGGATTCCCAGGGGCTTTGAAGGAGAGATTAATTAAGCAAATAAAGAAGGAAATCTAGAGGACAACTCATCAGGCAAAGAAGGGACCCTGTCATAGAGTTATAATATCTAATATCTCATGAAAATTTAGAAGTGTCCCACAGAAGATATGAAGAATAAAAGTACCAAAGGAAGTGGGCTTAAAGGATCCCAAACGGGAACAATTAAAAAATACACGTCGCAGGGAAAATATAACCCCAGAAAGGCTACAAGGAATAAATGGAAGAGAGGAAGGTGATATTAGACTTGTTAAATAGCCCTAGACTATCACTGGGCCTGAATGTTAGTAGAAGGAGGGAGGGAGAGATGGCGAGGGAGGGGGGGGAGGTTGGGGGGGAGGGAAGGGGGGGAGGGAAACTGATAACAAGGTTAACACTCTGTAGGACTGAGAGAGGTATTAAAGCAAGGGAAAAGAGGAGGAGGGTAGTTATGCGACCCCCGGAAGGAAAGGATAAAGAGGATTTAAAAAAAGGATGGAAGAACTACAAGTCATCACTTATAACGTAAAGGGGCTGAATTGTCCTGGGAAGAGATTTAGGTTATTTAAGGAATTACATCATCAAGCAGTTTCGGTGGTTTTTTTGCAGGAGACACATCTTGAGATAGAATCCAAGGTTAAGTTAAAATCCAGAGATTACCCAACATGGTATTATGCAGATTCCCCGATTAGGAGAGCCAAAGGGGTAGCAAATAGGGTTCAGAAAAAATGTAAGATTTGAATTGGAGGATAGAAAAGTGGACCCAGAGGGGAGATATTTGTTCTTGAAGGGTAAAATACAAGAGGTGGAGTGCACAGTAGCTAATATATATTGTCCAAATAAAAAACCAGAGAAGTATTTGAAGGGTGTGTTAAAGAAATTGATGGATTTTAAAAAGGGTTGTTTGATATTGGCTGGAGATTTTAATTTCTGCATGGATCCACAAAAAGATACAACCTCTTCTGTGCAGTGAGAGGGGAGTAGATCTCTGAGACTATTAAAGAAGGTGATCCATGAGTTTCAATTGGTAGACTCATGGAGAATTTTGCATATGAAGGATAGAGACTACACATTTTTTTCAAATGCACACGAGACGTATTCAAGGTTGGATTATATACTGATAGAACATCAATTTATAGAGTCAATAGTTAAAGCAGATATAGGAGTAATGACCCTTTCAGACCATGCCCCTGTTGTATTGAGGATGGGATGGGGGAAGGAGGAAAACAGATGGGGTAGGATGGAGGCTGAATGAAGCACTTCTCATGGATAAGGATATCGCACAGAAGATTGGGAAAGAAATTGAGAGATTCTTTAGAGAGAACGAGACAGAGGATGTGTCTAGGGCAACAGTGTGGGAGTCTCATAAGGCATATATAAGAGGAATCCTGATTGCTATTGGGGCAAGAAAGAAAAGAGAAAGGAGAGAAAAAATTAGTGGGCTCTTAAAAGATATATCTGACCTGGAACAGATGCACAAAAATAGTATGGCAAAAGAAATGAAGCAGAAGATAAAAAAAAGAAAGAGGAGTTAGAGACTCTGATGGAAGAGGAGAGAAGGAGAGTTTATAACAAGGTGCTAAGTGAGAATTAAAAATGGGGAGATAGGCCAGGAAAATATCTAATGAGAGCCTTAAGGAAAAAAAAAATAGGAATTATATAGATAAAATAAAAAGCCCCAAGGGAGAATTGGTCCACTCAAATAAGGAGATCGCAAAGGTGTTTGTGGATTATTACAGAAAGTTGTATAATATCAACCCATACGACGTAGCAAATAATATGGAAAAGGAAAATAGGGAAAAAAGGAAGATATATTTAAAAAATGAGGGACTACCAAAACTAAAAGAAGATCAACTAAATTCCCTTGAAGCAGAAATCACACAAGATGAGATAAAAGTAGCAGTAAAAAGTATGGAGACGAGGAAAAGCCCAGGACCGGATGGCTACACAGCAGGGTACTATAAAAAATTTAGTGAAATATTGATTCCCAAATTGGAAAAATATATGAATGCCCTGGGAGGAGAGATGGACATGAGGGGAGAATCTTTACAGGCTCATATGGTACTGTTACATAAGGAAGGGAAAGATGCCTCGCAGTGTTCGAGTTATAGGCCAATTTCATTGCTGAATTTAGACACTAAGCTGTATGCAAAGGTCTTGGCAAATAGGCTGAAAGAGCTTATGCCTGAATGGATACATGGAGATCAGGTGGGTTTTGTCCCAGGAAGGGAGGGCAGGGACAATGGGTTGAGATCCCTGATGCTGATACAGAAAAGTAGAAAAGGGGAGAAACCGGTGGTGGTTCTTTCAATTGACGCCGAAAAGGCCTTTGATAGAGTAGACTGGGGCTTCATGATGGATACCTTAGAAGCCCTGGGAATTGGAGTTAGAATGAGGGAATGGATTGGAAAGCTGTACAGTAAGCCCTCCGCAGTGGTAATAGTAAATGGGGAAAAAACAGAGCCCATCGGGATGTCAAATGGAACAAGGCAGGGTTGCCCTCTGTCTCCCTTATTATATGTTATGTCACTAGAACCTCTTCTGTCAACAATAAGGAAGAATGGAGATATAAGGGGAATTCAGATAGGAGACGTAGAACATAAAGTGGCGGCCTTTGCAGATGATCTGCTGTTTTATGTGGGGAATCCCAGGATAACACTTCCAAACTTAATGAAATTGCTGAAGGAATACGGGGAACTATCAAATTTAAAAATCAACCCAACAAAAACTGAGATCTTAAATATAAATATCCCAAAAAGCGAAAAAGAGAAAATACAAAAAGAATTTCCCTTCATTTGGAAAGAAAGAGATATAAAATATTTGGGAGTAAGGCTTAGTGCGACGTATAAGAACTTGTATAAACTAAACTATATTTCATTATTAAATGAAGTGAAGGGGGAATTAAAAACTTTAGAAAGAGGATTTCCATCATGGTTAGGACGTATAAACCTGGTAAAAATGATAATCGTACCGAAAATTTTATATAGATTTCAAATGATCCCAATTAAACTCCCGGAAGCTTTTTTTAAAGTAATAAAAAGAATGATAACAAGATATATCTGGAGGAATAAAAAACCGAGGGTGTCCCATGAAATATTAAGTAGAGATAAAGGGAAGGGTGGTCTGAGAGTTCCAGATATTAAGAGATATTACAAAGCAGTAATTTTAGGGAGAATTTTTGACTGGACGTTCAATTTAGAGGGGAAAAGTTGGGGAAAAATTGAAAATACACTTAGTGGAACTAATTTGAATAGAATTATATGGTTACCGGCACAATATAGAGGATTTAAGGAGGATTTAAGTTTGTACACTGTAAATGTGTTAAAGGAATGGGATAAAATACACAAATATATGAAATGGGAATTTAACTCTATACTAATGCCACTAAGAAATACAGATTTTTTTCCCCCAGGTAGAGAAGAGATAACAGGTAGATGGTTTATAAAGGAAGATGTCCAACTTAGAGACATAATGGGGGAAGGTAAATTGAAGACCTTTAAAGAGCTGGAAAAGGAAAAGGGAAATATTTTCACTAGGTTAGACGAGTGGCGTTATCACCAATTAAATTGTTTTTGGGGGAATCTCCCAAAACCCCTGAGAATGAAAAAGGATTGGAACTTGTTTGAAAGGTTGTTGGATGCACGGGGGGATAGGAAACACGGAACAGCTAAAATATATAGAATCCTCACAGATTTAGACACAAACACTAAACCAATGCACATAGTGAAATGGGAAAGAGATATAGGGGTGGTATTAGATGAAGAAAAACAGAAAAAAATAAACAGATTAGTTCACGAAAATGTAAGCTAAGGGATGTAGAAACAAATTATAAATGTTTGACAAGATGGCACATTGTTCCGAGTGTAGAATGTAAGATAAGTGGGGAGAAATCACAGTGGTGTTGGCGAGAAAGTGGGGAAGTGGGGACAGTGTATCATATTTGGTGGGAATGTCCAAAAATTCAAATATTCTGGAAAACAATAGTACATTTAATAGAGACCATTATAGGAATGAACATTGGGTTAGATCCAGGGATGTGCCTGTTATTTAGTTCAGAGTTATCAGTTAGCAAATTTAAGAAATTAGGTTTAGGGTACTATTTGAACGCGGCAAAAAGCCTGATCCCAAAGTATTGGAAGAAAAAAGAAATACCGAAAGAGAAGGAGTGGATAGAAAGAGTAAACTGGACTAGTAAAATGGAGAAATTATATTATATACAGGAAGATAAGTTGGAGGTATATTCCGCGAAATGGGAAAAAAATGGGAAAACTTTGTAGCAAATGAGAGAAAGTGAAAAGTAGAAAGTCATAGAATGGATAGATGAGTAGGATACGCTTGCTTTGGATAAAAGATAGTGAAAAATGCAGAGTGGGGAGGGGTTCTGGGGGGGGGGGGGGGGTAATTTTTTTAAGAGGGGAAAAATAAAGTAATAAGAAATAAGTGTATATTTATTATGACTGAGATGAAAACGTTTTTGTTATTACTGTGAAAAACCAATAAATATTTAAATTAAAGAAAATGTGTTGCTTTTGAAAAGCAAACTGTTGGTGGACATTGTGAAAAGTCTAGAATTATCATGTAGATTAAAGGGTCATCTTTAAGTTATATCCACATTTTAACAAGCAGTCAGATTTTCATTTATGCATGGACAGTCACTGTGCTAGCAATCACTGGCCAAGGAATTTTTCAGAAATCATTAACTTAATTTGTCTGAATCTGTCTGCATGCCCAGCCTATGGAAGAGACTTCAGGACATGGTGAGCAGTGCATCACAAGGAATGGAATTGGTGTCACTGGATGGTAGTGATGAGATACTCTTGGATAAATTATAAATTATACATAGAGTAAGAGATCATCTTAAAAATATAGCCTTAAAATATAGAACACAATTTCAATGAGTAGAGATTTGGAGTCAGGGCTTAGCTACATAAGCATTTTTTAATCTTTTTAATCTATATCAAAAAATTTTTTTAGCTGTGGATAAAGAAGGGAAAGATTATCACCCAAGTCAGGTTTTTATTACTTTGTGGCTCACTCTCTGTCCTGGTGACCAATGTCACCAAATCAGATAGTGATGGAAACCTAAAATTTAACAGCTGGTACCAGTACAAGAAGTAAGGATAAATCCTCCAAAGGGGACACTTATTCTGGTCTAGGAGGGGAATTTTCTTCACTTTGTAGAACTTTCCTTTCACCTCTTGTTGAGTATCTAAATCGAGAAGTGAAGGAAATCTCCCCAGCAGGGTGAACCAACATGAGGACTGGTATTTGGACTCACCTTACATTGACCGAGATGCCAAAAGACTTGAAGGATTTGGGGCTACATGTCTTCGGTACTGTAGTTACTGTGATGGTAAATGGAGCTTCACCTTCAGGAGGAGGTATGTTGTATTTCAGAGTACTCTATAAAACAATTTGGCTTATTAATATTCATGATAAACACACATTTTGCAATAGGTCAACAGCAAACAAATAGATGCTTTTATTTCTAACACATTCTCATTTTGAAGCATATATGTTTATTTGACAAGTATCTGATTTGGAGAGGGCTGCCTTCTGCCACATACACCCTGGTCCCGGTGTCCCTTCCTGACAAGGCAGGATGGCACCTTGCTTTTAATGGCCATTTTCCATTGGACCTATAAATAAATAAGATCTAGAAGAGCATCAAAAGGAGCCCAACTGGACTGTACAACTTCCAGTTAGGAAAGTGTGGTCATTGTAATAAGACAAGCATAAATCATTAATAATCAACTCCACAACTCCTACATAGTACATTAATCACCCAAAGGGTTTTTTTTTTCAACAAAAGTTGAGTAACTCTTTATTTATGCTGATCATAGAAAGCCAGTCTTCTCTGCTGAAAACTGGGCTTCTAGATGGCCAAAGTACCATCAGATTTGAGTTGTAAGGCACGGTAAAAAAAGTTGTTCACAAAACTCATACATGGACAGTCACAAACAATAGGCTCAAAATATTTTGTTAAACTCATAATTTCAGTATCTGGACAGTAAATTTTGTGTGCATGGGTACTAACCTGTATATAAACACAGCCAGGTCCATTGATGGAAAACAGTGTATTCCCCAGGAATGTCAGGTAGCCGGACACTTTGCAGAAGCAGGCGGTTTGAGTCCTCTACATAGAGTTTGGAAACTGGAACTTCACCAAGGGTGACGGCTACTTCACGAGGACCATCGTGTTGGTGAGCAAAGTAGCCATACATGGCTAGGGCTTGAAGAGCAACTACTGTGTCCTGAGTATAACAGAGCATAAAATAAATGTTAGGGTAATTGATACTTATCTGTTTTAAACTTAAAGAGACCCTGTTGCCAGACTATTCTATTCGTTTCAACAATAATCTTCTCTTAAGGTTATCCAGTGGATATAAAAAGTCTACATACCCCTGTTAAAATCTTTGTCTAATTTTTTTATATCACAGAAACCTGACATTTTAACAGGGGTGTGTAGACATTTTATAGCAACTGTATGTGCATTTAATGTATTTTATGCATGTTATTTACCTGTAAAACCCTCCCTTGTGTAGCCATCCCAAAGTCCTGGGAGTTCTGAATTATGCCACCACCTTAAATGTGATGTTAGCAGCCCTAGAAGACTCAAGTGACACTCTATAGTTTGCTTCCCTCCCTCCTCCTCACTGCTACTTTAAAGATTATGTATAGACACTCCTGGAAGAGAAGAAGGTTAAGATATATGTAAGGAAGGACGGGGCTGTGCTTAGGAACTGACCTTTCCTGAAGTAGTCAAGTTTTCAGGCAGATTCAAAAGCACATTGCAAGTGAACAAATAGTTGTTTACAGAAAGGAAAAATGCTGCAAGTAAGCATTCAAAATACCTGAATTTCTGTGCTTTAAATTTCTTAATTTGGTATGGTTCTCTTTAACATTGGCTAGCAATTCTGACCCTTAGATCTTCCATATGACTTCATCCACTTGTAAGTAAGTACAACTTGCATTTATTTCTCAGTTTAAATCTGCTAAATACATTTCAGCTGTATCAAAGTGTAACACATTGAAATGTTACTGCTTACAATACATTAAAGTGGACGTTAGATGGTGGTGGCCTGCTATTCAGGGTTACTCACATTGATGGAACATGATCTCTGAATAGCAGGACTTGGCTGATAGTGTCTAGGACTACATTTCCCAGGAGGTGTGATGATGGCTGAAGCGCTGAACTGGGCTGCAGAGCCAGGATTGGAGAGACAGCGGAAAGGACTCACTGACCGCCTGGCTTGCCACACTGCCAAGCGGGCCACTCTGATAGCAGGAGACAGAGCAGGGCACCAAGTATGAACCAGAGGGCCCCTGGACTGTCTCTCTCCATCAGGGAAGACAGATCGCAGCAATCCACCGAATCACATTGATCGGATGAGAGAGACCCATGCATCCACTAACAAAGTGAACATTGATAGTTTGTCACCTCAGTTATCTACCTGCACCAGTTTGTGGCCTAGTTATACCAGCGCCATTTTTGGAATATATCTGCAGTACCGTCTTCGTTCAAGCTGACTGCAGGACATACAGTTACAGACCAAGGTACAGCAGTGCCAACTGAATCAACAAGTCCATTTCCCTCTCTGCAGATCAGGATTCCTACTACTGTTCACCTTTTGATTTTCATGTTCAGAGGAAATTGTCTTTGTCCATAGACATTTATGCCAATTGTTGCTATTTACTACTTCAAGCTCAATTCATGGTTAGAGCTCTTAATGGGAACCTTGCACTAATTCCTTACCAACAATCAGGGAAGATTTGAATCTTCTCCTTTTCCCTCTCTATCTTTGATGTGACAACCCTGAGGAACTGTCATCCACCCCTTGACGTAACGTCACACAAATTGGGCCCCACCAGGTGTACAGAAGACATTACAGAGCTCTTAAAGGGGACACTGACAATCATAACTGAGAATTCTCTTTATTTCACATCTAATCCTTGTCATCTAGTTCTGAGGACCCACAGTGAGCTTATCTGTTATTGATAGTCATTCTTGCTCACCGGGGATTCAAAAGTCTCCTCAGACTGGAGGCAGTGGATTATTTCTGAAAGCAGGCCTGCTAACAGACACTGTTGTTTTATTGTGAATTTTGTTGCTTTTGCTCACAGTTGCCAAGAGTGATCAAACTTGCTGCCAATACCAGTGTTATTGTGTTATTCTTGACTTTGTTACCTCCAATATAAACTTAATTTTGGTTTATACTACAGTAAGCTCTCGACTTATGAACATTCAAGTTGCGAACTTTCACAGATACGAATGGACCTCACATTACGAACAATCGGAGATGCGAACAAAGCACTGGAAGTAGCTCACGTGTCTGCTGGACATTGTCACAGCTGCGCTGCTGTGTGTTTACTGTACAGTACAGTGCGATAGTGTACTGTACAGAGCCTCGGATGTCTGGAAGCAAGAGGAAAAGCAGGTGTGATGTGGAGGGGACTGCTAGGAAGCGCAAAGCAATAACCATGGAAACAAAAGTGAAAATAATTGAGAGATTGGACCGAGGCGAAAAGATGGTAGACATCGCTCGTTCTTATAACATGAATTTTTCAACCATTGGCACAATTCTAAAGAACAAGGCCAAGATCATGGAACATGTGAAGTCTGCTGTGCCTATGAAGTCAACAATAATATCCAAAAAGCATGGTAAAGTGATAGAGGAGATGGAGAAACTTCTCAGTGTGTGGATGCAGGATCAGCTTCAAGTCCCAGTCAGCTTAACACTTATTCAAGAAAAAGCTAAAAGCCTGTTTGAAGACTTGAAGAAAAAACGGGGTGAACAGTGTCATTTAAGGCCAGCCATGGATGGTTTAACAGATTCAAGGCTAGAGCCAACCTTCACAACGTAAAAGTAGATGGTGAGGCTGCGAGTGCAGATACCATAGCTGCCCAAGAATTTCCAGCAACACTTAGAGAAATGATTGACGAAGGTGCTTATTTAATCCAACAGGTTTTTAACGTCAATGAGACAGGACTGAACTGGAAGAGGATGCCAGAACGAAGTTATATCAGTAAAGAGGAAAAGGTGATGCCAGGCTTTAAAGCAGCAAAGGACAGACTTACTCTGTTTGGTGGAAATGCTTCCAGTGATATGAAACTAAAGCCTCTCTTAGTTTACCATTCAGAGAACCCAAGAGCCCTCCAAAACATAGCCAAGGGCTCACTACCTGTTGTGTGGAAGAGTAACTCCAAAGCTTTGGTTACATAAGCCATTTTCCAGGACTGTTTTTTGCACACTTTATCCCCCGAAAAGGCCCCAAATGATTTAACTATATATCCCGGTAATTATACCTGCTATGCCAACTATGAGGGAGGAGGAAGGTTCCTGGGGAATTTCACAAAGGGATTCTGCGCTACTTATAGTACAGCCCGGTCGGATCAAACCCAGAACCAGGTCATATCACTGGGGGATATATTCTGAATCTGTGGTGATCAGAAGATTAGGACCCGACTGACAGGGAAGTGGAGAGGGGAATGTACCCTTGCCAAGGCCATAATGCCACTGCATATCCTCTCAGATCCATTACTTAAGGGGGCACCCAACCCCCCTTGTGCAACCAAGCAGAAACAAATTGCCCCACAAGGGAGTTTTGACCCCCATGTCTATGTAGACGCAATAGGAGTCCCAAGGGGGGTACCCGATGAATTCAAGGCCAGAGACCAGGTGGCCGCAGGATTTGAATCCCTATTCCTCTTCATCACTGAGAACAAGAATGTAGATTGGATAAACTACATTTACTATAATCAACAACGGTTTGTAAATTATACACGAGATGCCCTAAAGGGGATAGCAGAGCAGTTGGAGGCTACTTCTAACATGGTTTTTCAAAATCGTATGACACTCGATATGTTATTAGCAGAAAAAGGGGGGGTCTGTAAAATGATACCAAAGACCATGACCTGCTGTACGTATATCCCAGATAATACAGGCCCAAATGGGAAGGTGACACTGGCCATCAAGAGGTTGGAGGACCTATCAAATGAACTTAAGGAAAACTCAGGTATTACACATCCCTGGGATCAGTGGTTTGGATGGCTAAATGGCTGGCAGAAAGCCCTCGCCCAAGCAGGGGTGGTTATCCTGGGTATTATCATTCTAATGGCAGTAGTCGCCTGCTGTGTGATCCCTTGCATTAAGAGGCTAATAGGAAAAGCTGTGAACGAGATCTCCCCTACATTCCTGAACTATAACAATGTTGAACTCCCCCGTGAAGAAATGGAATCCTATACTCCCTTACAGACTGTGGCCCCTGACCATCATATATCAGACTTATAAAAAAGAGGGAATGCTACAATTTCCCCCCTTAACAGACAACTACAAGCAGGGAAAGACAGTGTCTGACTGTGGCCTTCTCAGGACTCTAGGGATGGATTAGCCACTCAGGGACTCTATATGCGTCTTAAGAGAGTTCCAAGGGGAGGGCCACCAGGCAGTTAGGACATCAGACATAGGGACAGTCAGGAATAAAATAGCCATTTTAAGGGGAGATTGTAGTGGATTGTGATAGACAGTCCATGTTCTATTAGATAATCAGTAAAATGACAATTTTATAGTTTTGCTACTTTCTGCTTCTTGCTTTTTAAATTCCTTACTCTCTTAAGTAAACAATCAGATATAGGTTGACAGAACAATGATGATAATTAAGATGGGGCCTTCATCCGGAGTCTCACCCTAGGTGACTCATTAGGAGAAAAGTATCTTTTAATGTAAACAACCCCCTTAAAAGTGAATGAGTCTTTTTGGGGACAATGATTGGAAGATATCAACACGGATGGAAGAACATGCAGAAACCCAGTGGACTTTTCACCCAATCAATGTATATGCTTTGCCTGCATCATAAGCCCTATAAATGATACTGTTAGTTCCTCAATAAAAGAACAGAAAAAAAACCCAGAATTTTAGGAAGTTGGCAAACTGCAACAGTGTCAGTGTCTTGCTTCCACGTGCACGTAATTCTATATTAATTTGGCTCACTGGTAGATCATGGTAAATGGTCTGTAGGTGACCTAGTCCAAAACAGAGGCAAGATAAAGGAGATAACTGGTAACATGCTATATACCTGGGTAGATGAAAAACCACCAGTGGGATTCTGCTGCTTTACGATCCATGAGACCACCTTTGATGCATGTGTCATGTCCTCATCATTGATCTTGGGTTTGGATAACATAGCCAGCAGGACATAGGAAGCCATCTCAACGTCCAGAGATGGGGCTCTGCGGTAAGGGTCTCTTACAATTGCAGAGTCTTCTGAGGATTCTGGCCGATGCCAGTGGATTGTACCATCTGGAATATTCATTTTTTTGTTAATGTTGACCATATTGGCAATTGATAAAGATTTGTAGAAATCTTTCTTGGGTCATGTGGTGTTTAATTCACTGAATATATTGGTATGGAAATCAAACCAACAAGGCATATGTTGTACAGGAATCATGATAAAGAGATTAGGCCAATAACCTGTTGGCACTTAGTGGTTTCTATCCATAAATTTCAACATCTTTAGGAGCACCAATGAGCAATGAAACCCCTGAGCATCTTTTCAGCAAAATCTGACACTTGCTAGAAGCAAATTGCTGGTTTGCCCTCCTCACTTTTTGTACCTCCCTAGTGGTCTTTCAAAATTTGGGCAACTCCTAGATATAAGCAGTAGGACAAGGAATAATGTACCCCTATGTAATATACAGTATACAATAATACAATATTACAAGGAGCTGCACAATCATTCCATATGCACAGGCTCACAGAATGCCTTTATGTTCCAACAAGAAAAATATAATACATTTACTAAAGGATCTGAAATATATTGAATTCAGCTAACAGTATGTGAATGTACACATTATGAAAGCATTCAATACATACAGGAGGCAGTACTGCCGAACATGATGAGGGGATAAAGCATTTTGACAGTGGATGTATACAATCCTTTCCAACCAATAAATTCTAACTGTGATGTTTTAAAGTAGGTTGCAAACTGAAAAGTTAGCGTTGGATTGGTTACCATATACGTATACAATATCGGTTGCTCATCTAAGATGATCTAACATGTAAAGCATAATCTTAGTTCTGAAACCACATGCTCGTACCTTGTTTAATGGCCTTGTCATCAAGGTCATGAAGGAGTCGGGAACGAAGTTCCAGTTTTTCAGCAAGTGTGAAAGCATACGCCATTAATGCTTCTGTGTAGAGGTCCATTTCCTTACCTATAGCCCTCTCCAGGCACAACAAGGCACCATTGACCACCAAGTGCTATGAAGACAGAATTTGTTTACAGGGTCATAAATGATCAAATAAGTCTATAATTAGCTATGTAAGATTTGGTTATATTTGTTCTACAAGCCATTAACTGTAAGTGGGTGGATTAAAGTGGAACAGTCCCTTTCATAAATACTGACTCAGTACAAAGATTTAAGTGTTGAGTACAAGAAATCAAAGTAGTTTTCAATATGTATTACTGATTGTACCATAACAAATGTTTTTATTTCTCCTGATATAAAGGCTTTATGTGTATCATTTTTAAAATTAAGCTTTGTTTTCGCAATTCACACAATCGATAGCTAGTTATAACAATCTGGCAGTCTTTTATATTAGTTCTTTGTATCCTCATACCGTAACAGGCAACTTGATTTCCAACAGTGTTATGGTAATGTAGGCAGCCAATGCTGTTTCATCACTCACTCCTCCCTGGAAAAAAACACAAGTATGTTGACAGTTAAAGTATATGTAAACGCCGCCTTGTAAAACAACCCATTCAGTTTAAAATAGAAATGAAAGGCAAAACATGTATGTTTAACCATTTCAATACTGGGCAATTTTACACCTTCCTGCCCAGGCCATTTTTCACGTTTCAGCGCTCTCACACTTTGAATGACAATTGCGCGGTCATACAACATTGTACCCAAACTAAAATTTTATCATTTTCTTCACACAACTAGAGCTTTCTTTTGGTGGTATTTAATCACCACTGGGGTTTTTATTTTTTGCTAAATTAACAAAAAAATACCACAAATTGTGAAGTAAAAAACACTTTTTTCTTTGTTTCTGTTATAAAAGTTTACAAATAAATAATTGTTCTTCATAAATTTAGGCCAAGATGTATTCTGCTACATGTCTTTGGTGAAAATAACCCAAATTAGGATGTATTATTTAGTTTGTAGGAAAGTTATAGAGTTCACAAACTATGGTATAGATCTGAAAATTGATCAATCCTGAAGTACTGACAGCCAATCTAATTTCTTGAGGTCCAAGAATGTCAGAATAGTACAGATATCCCCAAATGACCCCTTTTTGCAGAGTAGACAGTCCGACATACTTCATAAGAGGAATGGCGAGTTTTTTGAAGTTGTATTTTTTTTGTTGTAGTTTTTTCGGAAAATGAAAAAATTAAAAAAATTATTTTCACTATTTTTTTTTTTACATACTGTCACCAGTGCAGTACAGCGTCATCATATAACTGGCATGGCGGTGAACAGGGACACTGACTGGTGACAGTATGAAAAAAAAAATATATATATAATTTTTTTTTATTATTATTTTTAATTTTTTATTAAATTTTTTATTTTTTTTTCATATTTTACTATGACCAAAGTAGTATAATGTTACCATAGTAACATTGTACTACTTGGGGGAAGTGATCAGTATTTTATTTTTTTTTTTACACAATTACTTTGCTATAAGCAAGCATTTACCTGAATGAAATCGATTCATTCAGGTTTTTTTTTTTTTTTTTGTGCTTAGCTGTGATTTGGCCACAGCTAATCACATGACATGTGCATGTGACCTGCTGTGACCATTCACAGCTAGGCACTAGTATACAATGGATGGCATAAATGAAGCCATCCATTGTATGAATGAAGCCATCCATGAATGAAGCCATCCATTGTATACAACTGTCATGTGACCTGCTGTGATTGGTCACAGCAGGTCACATGGTACCAGCAATGGGGGCCGGTACACGGATCTGTCATTGGCCGTGTCCGAGGTACACGGCCAGTGACAGATCGCGCCGCTGCGCGGCTCTGCAAACCGCACGAACTGCGCATGTGCGGAAGGACGCCAAATGGCGTACACCCCAGAAAGCAAGAGCATTTTTGCAGCCGCCAAACGGCTATAGGCCGGGCGGCTAATGGTTAAAAACATTAAAAAATACCTTTTCCCTCTTTTTATAAGTGATCACATACCCTCTGTTCTCAGCTGCATAGAGAGGTGAGGGAGGAGAAACAGTAGTACACTGATCTTCCCAGTGAATGGCTGTGCAGAGGGGGTGTGTCAGCACAAGTCTGATCATTGGAGGAGAGCAGGCTGAGTTCCAGCACAGCTAGAGAGCTGACCACACTGTGCTCCCATACCTAGTGTGTTCAGTTGTTAATAGGAAAGCAGAAGGACTGGCAGGAACATCAATGATTTCACACAAAGGGAGCAAAACAAAGAAAAATATACTTTTGCATACAAGTATATGGTACAGCAGTCACATATCAAGAATATGAAATGTTGGGTTTAGATATTCTTAAAAAGTATACAGAGCAGTTTTACCCCAGAATATGCGAACATGCTTTGGTTTCACTCTGATGTGATTTCCCGGTTTTGCAGTTATAATTTTTAAATAGCTGGCAGATTGATTATACTGACCACATTTATTATTGGATTCATGAAATATATATTTTTCTTTTATAAATGTTTATTGGGAAACAAAACAAGGTAACATTGTTGACATTTAGATATATCAAACTGATGTGGACATATACACATTGGTCAACATTGTACAGAAGTAGCAATAATGTAATAATGTAATGACAAGATTAAGATATGTTAGGATAGGGGCCCATAGGATTAGTCAACTATATATTATATGTTGATGGAGGGACCCGGAGATCAGAATCTTGGTTTTCTTTCAGGTGTGACTAACAGGATAGAAAAACACAACCAAGACTGTGCAAATATTGTGTGGGGAGAAGGTTATTGACCTAAGGTGGATGTTGAGACTATGAAAAATAGAGGGATGAGTGGGGTTAAGAAAGAATAGAGAAAAATAATGTGGAGGGGAAGTACAAGAGGAATGCAGAGGGGTGGAGGAGAGAGAGTGCATTTTTGGAGCGTTTTTCTGCCCAAGTGAAAAAATGTAAGAAAATAATAGTAGATGAACAAATATATGTTAAATAAATAAAAAAACACATAAAAATTATACATTTAAAAAAAAAAAGATGTAAAAATTAAAAAAAAAAAAAAAAATAAAAATTATACATTTAAAAAAAAATTAAAACAAATTTATATATATATATATATATATATATATATATATATATATATATACATAATTTTTTTTTTCATATGTATAATTTTTATGTGTTTTGTTTTTTTTTTTTCCTTTTTTTTACATTTTATTTTTTTTTAAATGTATAATTTTTATTTGTGTTTTTTTTTATTTATTTAACATTTATTTGTTCATCTACTATTATTTTCTTACATTGTTTCATGGGGAAGGGTTCCCAGGGGTTTAGAGTTCTATAAAGTTAAAAGGACAATAGAGAATTCTTAAAGCATGAGGTTTTGGAATAGGATATCCAAGGCTGCCAAACGAGGAGCTATTTAGTGTGGGTTTTTTTTTAGTTTATCATTATATGGGTCAATCTATTTTTTATGGCTTTGAAGCTTAGGGTTGGGGTCTTCCAGGCCCTGGCTATTTCAAGTCTGGTGTCTGTAAAGATATGAAACACCAACACCTTTTTAATGCAAAAAAAGGCTAGGAATCAGTTTATTTTATTTAGAAGTGATTCATAAGTGGGAGAATGAGATTGTAAACCTCTATCCAGAGTCTGCTCGCTAATGGGAGATAGATATTGTAACATGCAAGTGTAACATTTCCACGTATTTATTACATCTTAGTGCTCGCAGTATTCCCTCTGACAATGCATTTATCTGCATTTTCCTTCAGAATGAAGGAGACATACTCTCAGCCTAGGCAAATTCACCTGACTGGGAGTACAAGGACTATGTTAAGGTAAATTATGGAGGGGTTTTTTTTTTTTTACATCATACAGTTGAATATTGTGACATGTCAGAAATGTATTTATACAGCAAAGTTCAGCTTAAAATAGAATGGTGGTATGGCTGCATACCATGTTGCTTCTTTAAAGGCAAATGTGTTTAAAAATCTTTTAGAGCATTTTAGGAACTAGCCTGTTATAAACATTTAGCAAAGATGTAATTTTACATATGCCAATGTAATACAAAGTACTGTATATTCAGGATAATGAGTCTGCAAATCGAGTACAGCACTGTTCAAACACTTAAAGCTGAATTCTAGGCAAATATAAAGGACAGGAATTAATGGAGCTAATAGTACCCAAATTTGACTATTGCAGTTCCTCTACAGCAGTGCTAGATTATGAGAGGAAGTAAGTGCACAATTAAACATACTGATAAAAAGTCAGAGTGACAGAGGGATGAGCTCATCACTGTGCTGCTTCTCCTTTCACTATTCAGTAACAGTCTGGAGGGGGTCCAGGAGGACCTAGATTTAGGAGGAGTGGGTTGAATGATGCTGGCTGTCATTCTTGAGACATGTAGCACAGAAAAAAAAACTACTGCAGCGAAAACCTTTGCATTGAAGGTTGTGGCAAAATCTGGTTTTGTTGTTTTATCTTTTATTAAGCTATTTGTTTGTTATTTTCTTATTTTTGGCTGGAGTTCTGCTTTAAAGAAGCATGCATTGGTATGAGCAAGCCCTAAAAACTGCAGCAAAATGCTGAAGACCACATCCTGTAGAAGCAAGCCCTAAAACCCACAGGTGAAGAATAACAGAACATGTAGTGGTATCAATTTATATAATCCTGCTATGATTTAAAAGCTAGAATTCAATTACTAATCTTTGCAAGCAGACCCTAAGTGGTGATAGCACTTGTGTTAATAATGAGGTCTGATGAGCTCCAAAATGAATATATATATATATATATAATTGTAACAGTACTCACAGGGAACTTTAGACCTTCTTTGATCTTCCTGGAGCTGATTGTTGGCTGAGTCCTTGCCATTTTGGCTATTCTTCTATCCATTCGAATGGTACTTTTTTGCTTTCTTCCACGTCTTTCAGGTTTTGGTTGCCATTTTAAAGCATTTGCGATCATTTTTGCTGAGCAGCCTATCATTTTCTGCACTTCTTTATATGTTTTCCCCTCCAATCAATTTTTTTTTATCAAGGTACGTTGTTCTTTATCAAGGTACATTGTTTTTTATCAAGGTACAATGTCTGGAACGACCCATTTTCCTCAGAATTTCAGAGAGAAATGCACTGTAACCAGCATGTACAACATTTGCTGCCTTCCTTCCTTAAATAAGGGCAATAATTGGCACCTGTTTTTCAAAGAATGAATGACCTCACTAATAGAACTCCACACTGCTATTATTTTGAACATGCCCCTTTCAATGAGTGATTCAATTACACAGAATCAGCAGCATGCATGTCATGACTGTTGGGTCTGTTGGATTTCTATTACTCTACTACACCTGCTAGTAAATTATTTGCTATGTAGAAATATAATTTCTACCAAAAAAAATGATTGATCAGGTTAGTGATGTCTGACTGCTATTATTTTGAACACAACTGTATGTGTGTATATATATATGTATATATATATATATATATATATATATATATATATATATACTGTATACACTGTGGCATATACAAAATGCACTTTATTAAATCAGAACACAAAGCGCATTTTTGGACATTTCTTGCAAATGAACATTCTGTCATATATATTTATTACCAGCACTACAGTGTACTCATGGCTGGGGCATGCAGATGAGCACTTTTTGTAACAGTGGATCATGAGGCAGTGGCTAAACTTCAATACAGGCTAACGCAGTCAAGTAGTTCAATTCATAAGCACATTGCCACAAACACTCGTCATATTGCCACTGTCGATGAGCTGGGTATTACGTGTTGCTTGTTTTGGTTTCTCCTATCCATCCTCATGTAGGAATTCCTGGCTGCAGGACTATTGGGACTAAGCTGATTATTGACTTCACAGGTTTAGCGCCTTGGTTCAGTTGCTAACTTTCAATGCTGCTGGCTCCTGCTTTTACATTGCAGCTTCTCTGAACTTCTGGTTTTCACAGGGAAGAGTTAGCAGTAGACAGTGAAGTCTCCAGCCAGTCCGTTAGCTTGGAGATGGAGGTCGGAGGGAGGAGCATGGAAGTGCCTTACCATCCTAGGCTATGGAGTTGTGTATTTCTGTTGATGCTCAAAATATAGAGAGACTAACATTAGTCCCTGCATGCAAGGGTGGCTCCATAGAATGCTCCAAGAGAAAGGAGTCACCCTGAAGCGGGAAACCTGAGCCATCAGACATAATACCTGTATAAACAGGAACATAGGTAAGGAGTAAAAGATAAAGAATCTGCATACTCAGTAAGTGAATTATTCAGCTGCTGAAAGTGCTTAAGGTGCAGAGGGTTTAACATCACTTTATGGCCAGAATCGCTACTGTAGATGCTTAAAAGGTGTGTTTTTCTGTTAAAAAAAATGGTGGCAATTATTGTTTGTGTGTAAAAAGGGTCAACTGTGGAGATAACCAACCCCAGTTACACCCTTAGTCTGGTAACACTTAAATTTTTTGTCCCACAAGCTGGAAAATCACAACCCCTATCAAATATGAAAAATAAAATAGCAAAACTGGTGCCATCTGTCAATTGGCACTCCAAACCTTGCACTACTAAGTCTTTTTTTTTTTCTGCAACAACTCCCTCTTCCCCATTTCCACCCTTACCTTTAAAGCATTATTAAAGAGTTGTCCCATGTTATGAAAGCAGCCGTTGTCTTTCTGTCTCTGTAAAAGCCACTTCAAGCTGTCTGATATTTGTTTTGGGTCAATGTAAATGTGTGACTGAGCCTTGGAGAAGGATCTGAGAACAAACGTCGTTAGCCTGGAAGAAAAAAAAAAAAACAGTTATTCTGCTCTGTTCTCCTGTCAGCAAGCTTCCAGTGTTATATTGTCAACAGAGTAAATTGCATGGATCACTCAGCTGACTGGTTCACAGGTCTGGTCCTTCCAGCGTGAGTGCTGCCTCACGGGACTACAGAAAGCTAAAATAAAGACAGATTCTGGTACTCACTGTGTACCAGCTGCATTTCAAAATACATTAAGAATGTATAAGTGTGGTCTTTTATATTTTCCTGAAGTTCCCCTTTGAAAAAAACTGATAGAATTTCTCTATAACAGTACCTATTTTGTGTCCCCTATACCCAACTGTCCATACCAAGTGTTCCCTTCTCCAAACCGAGGTCCAAAAGCACTATATGAGCCATCAGAGTGTTTGTAAATCAGCTGCTTCTGATATCCTGTGAAACGATAAGAAAATAAATACTATCACATTGCATTGTCTCTATTTGAACCTTTAGCTTTAAAGTAGATCTAAAAGCACTTCACTATGACTATAAGGCAGTAATACAGCCTTTCTCAACAAGGGTTCCTCCAGAGGTTGCTAAGGGTTCCTTGAGCATTGACAGATTGACATCTTGCCTGATGGTGTCTTGCACCAATGTCATTCTGCAGACCCTGTGATCTGGGACCAGTGGAGCTTCTGGTTTACCACGGTCTCCAATGATCATGTTAACTGTCTGTAAGGGGAGCATTCTTTCCACTGTCCCCCTAGTATGGGGACACTAAACTGACCACCACAGTAATGGGTATTCTCACTGACCAGCAGTGCAACAGGACATGTTTTCACTAAATACCAGTGTAAACCTAATGGAACTAAAGAGCCCTAACTACACTCCAAGCACATGGTTGCTTTGTTGCCCCATTGACTTGAACAGGTGAGTTTGACAGGCGGTGCCACCTGCAACTTGACATTCCGTGTTAAATTTGCAAACATCCTCCTCTAGCTGCATGGTAGGCTTTAGGAGGGAGGTCAGGGGGCAGATTTCCTGGTACGAAAAAAACGTTAATGGCTACAAGGTTGAGAAAGGTTGCTATAGGAAAATAGTCACATGAGAGAAAAAAGTACTTAATTAAATCCTTGTACAGAAACAATGGAATATTGGTCACATGGTCTCCACCAGAGATACTTGGTGAATGGATGTTCAAACAGAGCACACAGGTTACAGTGAAGTGCTTTTGCTGTTAGACTATAGAACAACTTTATTGTTGCCTGTCCAGGATTCATTTCCCCCTGCTGCCCGCTAATAATGATTTTAGTGTATTCTGAATCAAATTATAATTTTCATTTTTTGGGGGGAGAGGGGGTGCCCTGTCAGATAGGCTTGATAGGGCCCTGTTATTTCTAACAGCAGCCCTGTGTAAACCTATGCTCTTTAGTGAGTGGAAGCAATATTTCCTGTTTATAATCAGATTAAGATATTTGATCTGGGACTTTACAGTCCAGAGACTGCTGGTTAAAAAAAAAATATTATTATTCATACTATACATTATTCTACCAACATAACAGAAAGAAAAAGAGGTGTTCTAAGACAAGATATGGCCAATGGGCAAAAATAATATAACCATCCTTTAATATGGTTAATAACCATCCCATATGTGTGTGTGTATGGGAAAGGGGAGACGGGGACTCAATAATTAAATAGGAACTCCAAGCTTATGGATAAATGGGATACTGATTTAATATAAGGAGCTGCTGAAATCACAGATAACTAAGTATGTAGTTCAGAATTTTATCCCCTAAAAAAAAAAAAAATCTGTGGCAAAGAAAGTTTTTTCTGCATCATGGGAGCTATGCCCTTTTTGTCTGGATCAAGCCAGTTAAAACGTGCTACTGAGTAAGGAGTGGGCACAATCAGAACCATGTTTATTGTTATCTTTTTTAATCTTCGTAGAAAGTGCTGTTTTTATATTGCCCTTGGTTGTGTTAGGTAGAGTCCTGCTTTAAGTTCCTTTTTCCCCACATGTTTTTACAAATAAAAATCAGACACAGGAAGGCAATACATTTTTTTTTTTTTGTAACAATTACAGAAAAAAAACAGGGGGATTAAACCGGCCATACATGGGTCGAATTCCGAAAGAATTTTCTTTCGAAAATGTTTTCTAAGAATTTTTGTTCAAATTGTGCACCATTAGTGGGCCACATCAACGGATGATTTTCGAGCGACCATTGAATTTGAGTGATAGGGCATGTTGTAAATTTGTTGAAAAACAAACTATTTTCTAATTAACAATGGAAGAATGGTATGAGAAATGTAATTGAAAAATAAATGAGCATGAGCTGTGACCTGGAAAGAAAAGAAAATTCTTTTCCACAAAAATTCTTTTCTGTAGCAACATGATCCAAACTTAAAGGCTTGGTTGGTCGAATTTCGAAATCAATGGTGGCACCATCAAATTACAAAATCCACAAAATTTTCTAAAGAAAATTTGTTTGGAATTTGACCCATGTATGGCCTGCATATGTCATGTACTGAACCCAACGAGAAGCAATGTTATGAGGTGCTGCTTTCTCTCACCTGTGCTCAGGTAGCTCAAGGCTTTTGATTTGAGCTCTGGGGTCAGCTGACCGGTATTATTGAGGTACTCCAATATGAAGATATTGGGGGTAAAAAGAGCGATATTCTGTTCCCCACATCCAGACGGCATCTTTAGCAGATTACCTAAATTCTGCATTGCTGTTCCCATGATATCACCTAAAAGAATTGATACAAAAAAACATAAGGCTATTTATTAATGTTATAAACCTTTACGCTGCACAATTTACAGCAGTTTTCCTAATACTGTTTTCTAGCAACTGTGACCGTAAACCATGCCTAGTTTACTCACCAATCGCAGAGAAGTAGGCACGTTGAGAACCTTCCACTATCTGGCTTGGGAGCTTCAGGGAAATTGTTTCTGCTATCGCAGTGCCTGTATATAAAGATTAATGGATATTAAACCCCAAATACATGAATAAATGTAGCTGCATATCTTGTACCATTGCTTGTCACCATTGCTTTCTGTTCCCAGTTTTGTGCAGTTGCTACAGCATTACCAGCCTATGAAGGTTTCCTCTGATGGAAGAATTTTATCCAAAACCACATCTTCTATTAATATATCCCATAATCCATTTAATCTGCCAATGTTGAGTGGAAAAATTGGTGATAAAAGGACAAGAGATTTTGCTAACATTATCTTTGTCCTTTTCGGTTAAAAAGAGGATTTGTCTAAAGAACTCATTTCTCGTATTAATTTATCCATTTCATCTTCCTGATACCCTCTCTGTAAAAACCTATTCTTAAGAGTCTTACTTTGAGTAAAATAGTCTGATATATTAGTACAATTCATTCTCATCCTAATAAACTGACCTTTCGGAATCTTTTTTTTTAGTAGGATTGTGACAACTCATGAGAGGAATGTAACTATTTCTGTCAGTACTCTTAAAGAACGATTTTGTTTCAGTTGAATTCTCTACTGAGAGTTAAATCTAAGTTAACTTCTTTATCGCTGGAAGTATAGGTCAGTTGAATATTCTTTTGGTTATCATTTAAAAAAAAAATATGAAATCTAATAATGATCCTTCATCACAATTCCAGACTAAAAATATGTCATTGATATATCTTTTGTAAAAACTCAAACTCAGCCACTGTTTGCCAAAAATAACCTTTTCCTCCCATAAATAAATTGGCAAGACTGGGCGTGAATTTCGCACCCATCGCTATTCCCTTGGTTTGAAGAAAGAATTTTGTATCAAACCAAAAATAATTATGAGACATGGCAAAATTATTCAAATCTAGAATAAATATTTTTTGTTTGTCATAGATCCCATCAGTTTGATTTAGAAAAAAATGTATTGCCTCTAAACCATCATGATGTGAGATATTAGTGTACAGAGAGGTGGGATCTGCCATTACTAAGAATGCACCTGATTGTACCTTTAACCCACTGAGATCATTAATTAATTGTTTGGTGTCTTTGATATAAGGCAAGGTTTTAAAAACTACTGGCTGTAGAAAGAGGTCTATGTATTCTCCAAATCTGGGCAGTAACAAATCAATACCACTTATTATTGGTCTACCAGGAGGGATTGTTTGATTATTATGAATTTTAGGTAGATAGTAGATCACTGGGATCCTAGGAGAAGAAGGGATCAGATAGTCTTTTTCTCTTTTATTTAATATACTTCTTTTATATCCCTTTTTAATAATCCTCACTAATTCCTTCCTATATGATGAAGTAGGGTCCTTACTAAGTGGCATATAGTTCTCAGTATCATCCAAAATATTATACATTTCCTTCATGTAGTCATCTCTGTCCAAAAGGTCAATACCTCCTCCTTTATCTGCCGGGCGGATAATCAGTTCCTTTCTATTTAATAAACTTTTTATACCATGACTGATTTTAGCATCTTGCAAGGATGTATTTTTACCTGTATTTTTTCTAAATTTCTCAGAACCATTTCTTTAAAAATGGCAATTTGAGGGTTAGAACTGCTAGAGGGGATAAATAAGAAGCATTTCTTAAATTAGTATGCACATACATAGGATTAGTGGTTGGTCTAGAAATAGGACTCTGCAAAAAATGTTTTTTAAGGGAGCCTGGTCTGGTAAATTTATGCAAGTCAATGAAAGTTTGTAACTTATTCAGCTTGGCATTGGGGTAAATTTAAGCCCATTATTTAAAGTATAAATCTCCTCTTCTTTTAGTTCTACCGTATTTAAATTAAAGATGCCTTTGGAAACTACATTTTTCTTTTTTTGTTGATGTCTGTTGATCTTTCTACCTCCCCGTTTCCCCCTCTTTTGGTGATGCTTCTTTTTTCTGCCTGTTCTCTCTTCTAAAAACTGATTCTGATGCTTGGTTTGATAACAATTAGTGGGTGGGGCCTATTTGTATAGTACAAATATTGAGAGGGATTACCAGAGTGGTGATGATTAGTTCTCCCCTGAAAACTCACTCTTCCTCTATATAAATTGTGCGGTTGTTGATTGCCAGATCCAGATCTGTACCTACCACCATTGGATCTCTGCTGATGTCAGAAGGCAGGGTAGTTGGATGTATCATAGTCTTGCTTATAGGACGATAGGTCTGTAATATGTATTATTTGAAGGCCTGGGTGATCTATAGTTTTGCTACCAATAAACGACTCTATTAGGTGGTTGTTGAGAATATGAATTTTGTGGGTGTGTGTAAATATACCTATCACCCACATGTTCATCCTCCATTGAGTATAGGGGTTCATAGCGATTATGTACTGGAACTCCATAAGAATTGTCATCTTGTCCAGTAACATAATTATGAAACATCTTAGATTGCTTATTGCTATAAGCAAGAGCACTTTATGGTGGTGGATGGACACATTTTTAATTAATTTTGGTTTGCACCATTTTTTTTTTCACACGGACATTTGACATGAACTGTAGGGGGATACTGATGCTGTTCTGCTGCATTCCACTGCGTGGGTCCCCCATTCTGGGCACCATGCTGCCATTTTCTCCTCTAATGCCATCAGGAGCCCTAATGCCTGTTCCTGGTCCATGCAGGCATCCCCCCCAGTGACGCACACAAGCTCAGACCACTGCCTGCTGTGTGTCCCATCTCTTGCAGTCTACTGGGATATGTGGTGCAGATATCCCAGGAAGCTTTAGAGAGGAGAGCATGTGATTTACATTTAGGGGTGGGAGAGAGTGCAATGATGCCTAGTGTGTCAATTGAATGAAGGTCTACTTTAACGTAGTAAGGCTTTTTTCTATAAGTTCACTTTATTAGTTTGTACAAAAAAACATTGAGTGTCTCATATGAACTGGAATATTTACCTATAGAAATAATATAAAATATACCTTTACCGCAGACCATGGCTGAGTGTGTCTCCTCTTTTTCAAATCCTTCAGGCTACAAATTAAACACAAATCTATGTTATATTGCACTTATACTTTTGGAGCATGCTACTTGGTGGGAGAATATTTATAGGCATGTTTATAATCCAAGATTCCCACAATAGTCTTAAAAGCTCATGTATATTTTAGGGCCAACTCATGTAGATGCCAATTCATCTTTGGGGGTGGTGTTGGGAACCTAAAGTATCTTGAAAAAAACATAAAAACATGTGGGAAATAAACCCAGGACCACAACTCTGCACAGACACAGTGCTCTCTACAAGCATTAAAGTATAACTAAAGTCAAAACTTTTTTTTCAGTTTTGGATAGAGTGGAGAGGGATTAAAACACCTGTCAGGTTTTAATTGCTGTCTGTGCCCCCATTAGGGAGATTCACCTTCTCTACTGTATGTGTCCTGTTTACCAATATAATCAAAAGTGAAAGTAAAAGAAACCCCAAAATTTAAATTGTTCCAAGAAATGTAATAGAGGAAAAATATTTCCATGGGGACACTAGTTCTGGTGACCTGGGGGGTCCCCAAGGAATTCCCTTAATTTGCAGGGATTTTATCACTTCCTGGGACAAGGAGTGAAGGTTATTCTTCCTAATGGGACACAGATGGCAAAAACTAAACTGAAAGGGGTTATGTAAGGGAAAATGGAGCAGCCATTTCTAGATATAAATATGAAATACATTGGTATTGAATTAGATGGCCTAACAACCTATTTCCCTCTCCTGCTGGCTCAACATTTGGCACTTCACTTCTACTTCCAGTCTATTGTCTACAAGATTGTTGTCACAGCCTTTGAAGACCTGTCAAACATGATGGACATTTACATGTGAACAAATAATCACACCTCAATGAGATTACACCAAAGGACACTGGAAGTAACAATAACATGTGGACTATTCGCATCTCAATGAGTTACACCAAAGACACAGATGACTCTTCAAAGAAAGATCAGATAGCTAGGTACCACCCACTGTAGAGCATATAAATTGTATTAGAAAGCCCTAGTTAGACAGAGCATAACTTTGAATCCAACACCATGTATTGTTCTGCTCTCCCTGCATGGAGGTCTAGCTACATGCTTGTATAATAAACATCTACTTTTCAATCCGGCTTCAGCAGTCAAAATGTTACTGAAACCCATGTGTTTTGGGTTTCCCCATCAGGTTATAACTAGGGGTGTGGAAATTTTTGAAAAAACTACTTGTCCAAGGACTAAATCGGTGTCCCAAACTACTTGTCCCTCATGACAATCTACTTGTCCTGAGCCAGTCACAGGCCCCCAGATGGGCAAGCAGAGCCTGGAACATATAGCAGGTAGGGAGGAGAGGCTGACACTGTGGGCTGTGTGGAAGCAATCGGGTGGCAGCGCTGCTGCCCAAATGCTTCCACCTGACAGATGAGCCCTGCTGCTTGCCCACAGCAGGGCTGAAGGCAAAAAAAAATTACCTGCTCGGCGCCTGGAACTACATGTCCCGGGCGTCGGGCAATAGGAATTGCACATCCCTGATAACCCTCCCTTATTCTATCCAAAATGAAAAAAAAAAGTTCTACTTTAATAAACTGGAAAAGGGCCTTCAGATGGTCCAGTAGTGAACACTATTAATGGTCAGACAACTTACCTTTTATTACATGGCCTGGGTTAAATACCACCTTACAGAAAATATAGTGCAAAATTCCCACCCAAAGTCACAGATAGTTTTATTAAGTAGTAGGGCTGAGGATTGGGATTTTTTTTATAGGTAAGTCACACAAATAATGAAGATATGCTGTCATATAGACATTGTACTGTCATCCTCCATTTTCATTTCCTGCACAGTAAATATTGTGATCTAATGACAAAATGGACTCACCTCCACAAGAATTTGTTTGGTGATTGTGTCCTTCCTCCCTTGTGTTGGGTTTACAATCTCATTTCCGCACATTCCTCCTCCTTGCAGAGTCTGAGCACTCACCGTAAAGTTCACTTCACCTGAGACAGAAAAGGGAAGATCTCTTAAAGTACACTGTCTACAGTAAGGGTATTGAATTAAAATCCAAGGAGGTACAGTCACTAAAATTTTCTTTCAGCCAAGGTCTAAATCTCAAGTTTGTGCTATGACATCAGAGTGCCCCCGTACATCAAGTATCCCCATCAGAGCACCCACTTACATCAGGATTCTGCGTCAGAAGGCTCCCTTACATCTGGTGTCTCCCATCGGTGTGCCCCTTTACATAGTTGTTTTCATTAGAGTGCCCCATTATATAAGGTTCCCCCATCACAGTGACACCTTACATAGGGGGTGCCCATCAGAGTGAACCCTTACATTATGTGTCACCAGAGTTCCCTCTTACATCACGTGTCTCCATCACATCCAGGTGTGCCCATCAGAGTGCTCCTTTACACCAGGCGTGCCCATCAGGGTGTCCCTTTACTTCAGACGTCCCCATCACAGTGCCACCTTACATGTGGTATTCCCGTCAGAGTGCCCCCCTTATATTAGGTGTCTCCATTAGAGCACCTCTTTACATCAGTTATCCCCATCAGAGTGCCCCCCTACATTAAGTGTGCTCCTTTACATCAGTTGTCCCCATCAAAGTGCCCCCTTACATCAGATGTCCCCATCACAGTGCCACTGTACATCAGGTATTCCCATCAGAGTGCCCCCTTATATCAGGTGTCCCAATTAGAGCATCCCTTTACACCAGTTATCCCCATCAGAGTGCACAACAGAGTGCATTACATAAGGTTACCCCATTACAGTGCCCCCTTACAACAGGTGTCCCCAGTACATCAGGTGTGCCCATCAGAGTGCCCCTTTACATCAGGTGTTCCCATCAAAGTGCCCCTTTCCATCATATTCCCACATCAGAGTGCCCTTTTCCATCACATGTGCAATCAGAGTGCCCTTTTCCATTACATGTGCCCATGAGAGTGCCCCTTAACATAAAATGTGCCCATCAGCATGCCCCTTATTGTATGTTTAGGGGTACTCAGATGGGCACATTTTATGTTAACAGGGCACTCTGATGGGTACATTTTATGTTAAGAGGCACTCTGATAGGCACAACATAAAATGTGCCCCTTTATATCAGTTGTCTCCATTAGAGTGCCCCTTTACATCAGATGCCCCATCACAGTGCCACCTTACATCAGGTATTCCCATCAAAGTGCCCCCTTACATCAGGAGTCCCCACTAGAGTGCCCCTTTACATCAGTTATCCCCATCAGAGTGCACAACAGAGTGCATTACATAAGGTTCCCCTATCACAGAGACCACTTACATAAGGGTGTCCCCATCAGATTGCCCCCTTACAACAGGTGTCCCCATCACATCAGGTGTGCCCATCAGAGTGCCCCTTTACCTTAGTTGTCCCCATCAGAGTTCCCCTTTACATCAGGTGTCCCCATCAAAGTGCTCCTTTTCATCATATTCCCCCATCAGAGTGCTCCTCTTCATCATATGTGCCCAGCAGAGTGCCCCTTTCCATCACATGTGCAGTCAGAGTGCCCCTTTCCATCACATGTGCAGTCAGAGTGCCCCTTTCCATCACATGTGCAGTCAGAGTGCCCCTTTCCATCACATGTGACCATCAGCATGCCCCTTATTTTATGTTAAGGGGCATTCTGATGGGCATATTTTATGTTAAGGGGCACTCTAATAGGCTCAACATAAAATGTGCCCAACAGAGTTTCCATTAACATAAAATTTGCCCATCAGAGTGCCGTTTAATATAAAATTTGCCCATCAGAGTGCCGTTTAACATAAAATTTGCCCATCAGAGTGCCGTTTAAAATAAAATTTGCCCATCAGAATACCCCTTGTCCATCGCCATGTCCCTGTAAGTACAAACACACCCTTCCTTGAAGACAGGCAGGGAACAAGAGCTAGCAAACATAGTGAGCTGCAGGGGGCTAGAGGGATCCACTGCACACAGCAGATAAAAATAGACATGTTTCTTAAAAAAAAAAAAAAATCACTAACTGAAGTGTCCCCCTCTTATCTTATGATAAGACATATCGTGTGGAGTCACTCTGCACATGCTCAGTTTAGTGTGTATTGGTAGAGAGGTTTTTTTTTTTCTTGGGAGAGTGCATGTGATCAGCACAGGGCCAATCAGCACTGTCCAGGCAGAGGTCAGGGGTCCTGCATGCTCCTAGACCAGAATGAAAACTCCTCTTACAAGCTTTAACATGTGCTCTGTTGGACAATGATAGAAGTCACAAGACTGCTCTGACTGCTAAAGAGAAAGGTATTTCACAGTTTATATCTACTAAATCTTCCATGTTTTGTGTACTGTAGGAGACCAGATATAGTGGATGCAGGATCCTGGGTTTAGTAACACTTTAAATATGGTGGCTGTATCAGTTTTCCTTTTATTAGGCTTTTTTCCCTCTGTCTTCACCTGGTGATCAGTACCACACCTCCTGTATTAGAGTGCCTCAATTCTGATCGAAAGAACACAGAGACACATTCAACACTGTCAGTCTGGGGGGAGGGGAGAGTTAGATGTTCCAGCAGATGTACTGCAAATACCCAAACAAACTGAAGCCAAGCTCCAGCTAATACTTTATAAGCAGTTACAGCAAACATTTTTTTTTCCTTTTGGGATAAAGGTTTTACATAAATAAAAGTTGATTATTGCACTCATTTATTAAATGGTTTGTATCATCCCTGTAACTGATACATCTGCAAGAGAGCTTGTTCTTTTGAAAAACAGACTTACTGGATCACCAGATGATAACAGAAGAACGAAAGTCTAAAAAGGAAAACTAATGCAGCCATCATCTAAGAATTGGTAAGCCGCAATATGTTTGCTTTTGGGTATAATACTGCTTTAACAGCAGTGATGTCCAAAGGATGGATTTTTAAATTGCAGTCATAGTAAATCTGTCTCATAATCTGATTTACTGCTCCTGTTTTACACTGCCTTGCTGTGTCATACAATTGCCCCCAGTACCATGAGAAGTAACACAGGCACAGCTTGGCTATACAAATGCACTTGTTAACTTTAAGACCTTTATCTATGCAAGTCTACAGTTTCTTCATGGTAACAAGCAAATACTGAGCATTTTCTATTTGATGCAGCATGTTCAAGCACAATGGAGCAAAATAGCTAACAGTGGATTCTTACAAATTTGGTCTTCAATTTGTTAGTGAATGCCAGATCCTCTGTTCTAAATATAAGAAGGTATAAGCCCATTGTGTGGCAAGAGAAATGGCAATTAGCAATTGTATTAGAACAATGATCTCCAAACTGCGACCCGAGGGCCAGATGTGGCCCTTTGCTTGCCTTTGTCTGGCCCTTGAGGCACTATTCCTCCCACTGACACCAATGATGGGGCACTATTCCTCCCACTGACACCAACAATGGGGAACCATCCTTTCCACCGACACCCCAACGATGGGTCACTATTCCTCCCACTGACACCAACAGTGGGGAACCATTCTTCCCACCAACACCCCAATGATGGGTCACTATTCCTCCCACTGACACCAACAATGGGGCACCATTGCTCCCACTGACACCAATGATGGAGCACTATTCCTTCTACTGACACCAACAATGGGGCATTATTACTCCTCCTACTGACCACATGACCATCATCTCTGAGACATTGTGGACTCCCACTGATGCTGGGGCATTTTCTACTCCCAGAGTCTGGCCCTCCTAAAGTCTGAAGGACAGTAAACTGGCCCTTTGTTTACGAAGTTTGGAGACCCCTGTCTTAGAGTCACAAAATACTGTATGTGGGGTGGGGTATATTTTACTTAGGGTACATTCTAATTTGCTAATCCTTAGCAAGCAGCATGTACAGGGATATGGAAAATGACAATGACATGAACACACACACTCCGGTTGAATTGGATGGACTGGTGTCTTTATTCAGCCTTACCAGCTATTTAAATCCAGTCCCACACTGGGTGTCCATAAACAGCAATAGGCAAGTCACCCAACAGTGTTGTACAGGCCATGCACATGCAGTGGTAAGTGAAGGGGATCTGTCTTTGCTTTTCCAATGGAGTAATAATTTATGGACTTTGCTTTGGTTTTTGCAACATACAGACTAAGAGGTGAACACAAGCCACATTGACTTTGTAAATTGTTGCATCTGTAAAACAATAGTCTCCTATAGGCATAATACTGAAATGTGTGGATTATTTGCTTTCTTTCTTTCAGTTGCAAATCCAACTGATTTGAACATCTCTTGTAATAATTTGACAGTTTGTGGTCCATTTCCAGAACATAAGAGGTAGATGGAAACCTCTGAACTGCTCTTTATCATTTAGACATTTTCCCACATCACTGAACCCTGCTCATTCATTATCACAAATGCCTTGATGAAGGGTGCTATGTGTCCTGGAAACATTGCATGCTTTATTATGTGATTCAAATGAAATGAAAGCAGTTTGCTATGAAGCACTCATTTTGGTGTGCAGACGACACAGCTATATAGTTACCTAGTTGGTCTGGTTGAAAAAAGACACAAGTCCATCCAGTTCAACCAACAGGAGAGAAAAAAATGTATATGTAATTGTAGAAATACATAACCCTATACCCACAGTTGATCCAGAGGAAGACAACCCCCCCTCCCCAATAAAGTATGATCCAATTTGTTATAGCAGGGAAAATAAATATTCCTTCCTGATCCCCCAAGAGGTAGTCGGATATACCCTGGATCAACTGTACCTATAAATAAGTGTATCCAGTTATATTTTGTGTATCTAGGAAAGAATCCAGGCCTTTTTTAAAACAATCCACTGAGCTGGCCAGAACCAGATCTTGAGGGAGTCTATTCCACATTTTCACAGCTCTCACTCTCTTACTGTGAAGAAGCCTATCCGTATTCCCTTTTCCTCCAGATGTAAAGAGTGCCCCCTTGTCCTCTTTGACGACCTTAAAGTGAATAACTCTAAACCAAGTTCACTATATGGACCACTTATGTAAAGTATTTATACATATTGATCATATCCCCCTTAATCTCCTCTTCTCAAGAGAGAATAAATTCAGTTTCTCTAATCTTTCCTCATAGCTGATCTCCTCCATGCCTTTTATAAGCTTGGTTGCCCTTCTCTGCACTTTCTCTAGTACCCTGATATCCTTTTTGTAAACTGGTGCCCAAAATTGAACAGCATATTCTAGATGAGGTGCTACTAATGATTTGTACAGGGGTAAAATTATGTCTCTTTCTCTGGAGTCTATACTTGTCTTGATACACAAAAAGATTTTGCTTGCTTGGCATTGGATTCTATTATTAAAGTGGTACTAAAGGTTCGACTTTAAAAAATAAAAAAAAAGTGTCATACTTACCTGCTTTGTGCAGTGGTTTTGCACAGAGCCGCCCCGATCCTTTTCTTTTTGGGTCCTCCGCCGGCGCTCTTGGCTCCTCCTCATTGACCAGTGCCCCCAGTAGCAAGCCACTTGCTATGTGGGCACTGATGCGTGTTCACTCCCCAGCCCGGCTCTATGTATCCATAAGACACATAGAGCCACAGCTCAGCCCTGCCCCTGCTCTCTCTCCTTATTGGCTCACTGGCTGTGATTGATCTCCCGCTGCTGTATCAGCCATTAAGGATTAGGAGTCCCGGGACAGCCAAGGCTCTCGGGCACATTGCTGGACTAGAGGGGGCTCAAGTAAGTATTAGGGAAGGGTGGGGGTCTGCTGCACACAAGTTTTTTACCCACATGCATAGAATGCATGAAGGTAAAAAGAAAATCTGCCGTTACAACCACTTTAAGCCTATGATCTACCAGAACACCCAGATCCTTCTCCTCCATTGACTCCCCCAGTTGTACTCCCCCTAATATATATGCTGCATGAGTGTTTTTAGCACCCAAGTGCAAATATTTACATTTATCAACATTAAACCTCATTTGTCACATAGTTGCACAACCAATGACATCGGCTTGTGAGCTGGAGACATCCTGTAAGGATGGTATTCCACTGCACAGCTTGGTGTCATCTGCAAAGACTGAAATGGTACTTTGAAACCCAGACCCTATATTGTTTATAAATATATTGAAAAGTAAGGGTCCCAACACTGAACCTTGGGGTACACCACTAATAACCCTAGACCATTCAGAGTATGATCATTAACCACTGAATACGGTCTTTAGCCAGTTTTCTATCCATTTACAAACTGATTTTTCCAAGCCTGTAGACTTTACATTAGCTATATGTGGGGAACCTTGTCAAGCATGTTTGCAAAATCTAAGTATACAACATCCACAGCCACTCCTTTGTCTACGTTTTTGTTATACAAATGCCAATCTCTCCAGGAATTGAATCTATTAACATACACCAGTACTTAGATATTCCACTAAAAAATTCCACCAAAAATTCAAACAGAGCTGCTGTAAGAAGTGTCATACATGCACTTAAATATAACTCAAAACATTATACAGCACTATTGGTTATTGTGCATAAACCTATATATAAAATTCTAATCAAAGTGCAATATTATACAACAATGTTCAGAAATAATGTGTCCATGTGCATCCAAATTTTCTCAACAATTTCTGAGCTTATTACTCTCAAAGTGAACAATACAGGTGCCTTCTTCAAGCAAATTTTAAATGTTGTTCCTTTTGTGCCTTTAGTGCTTCTGTGATCCTCCACCACTAACACAGAGAACTCACCAGATTTATATGACTACCTATCACAGATTAGTCATAGAGCACTTAGTAATAGGGATTTACACTATTCACTTCCCATTGGGGCCAACTGTATTTTATCCACTTATAAGAACTCATGCGGCATATAGGAAACGATAGAAAAAACTGCCATAGTGTAAAAATGTTTTAAAACTTTTAATATTTCATAAAACATTGCCTACTCACATACTCTTCTGTGGGGCATAGCAGGAAGTGACGTCATCCCGTAGAGCAAAACCGGAAGTATTGAATCTAGGAGCTGGAAGGGAGAAGGAAGAACACCCAGTACTTCTAATGTATTAGAACATATGCATACACCCAAATGCATAGTGATGCACCTGCTAATGTGAGTAGGTATTGTGGAAATGTTTTATGGAATAATAAAAGTTTTAAAAAGTTTTTACACTATGGCGGTCTTCCTCCATGATTTCATGCCGCATGGAGTGGAGAAAATACAGCTGGCCCTAATGAGAAGTAGATGGTTTAAATTCCTATTACTAAGTGCTCTGTGACTAACCTGTGATACGTAGTCATATAAATCTGGTGAGTTCTCTGTGTTAGTGGTGGAGGATCACAGACGTACTAAAGGCACAACATTTGTAATTTGTTTGAAGAAAGCACTTTTATTGCACGGACACTTTATTGAGAGTAATATGCTCGGTTTTGAGTTATCCAGGAATTGAAGCATAAAAGGCACATGCGCTATATTTGTGGGTCCACGATCATGAGATGGGTAGAGAGGGGTCTCTCTGAAGGGATTTTCTGACTTTAGCATAAGAGCAGTATTTCTTGCAGCAGTTTACTGGTTGCTATTACTTGTGTGGTTTGATCTTTAAACATTAAAATATGATGTACACAGTTGTGGAAGAACCTTTTGCAGACCTACTCAAACAAATTCTTACCAAGAGACTGTAGGATCACTTCATATTCTACGGTCACTCTGCCGTTTGCTTGTATACACTGACCTTCCTCTTCTGTGTTCATGGTTTTAGCTGTGAATTTGTCCGATTTTTCCAAATTAATTACCACCTATCAATTAAAAAAGGTTAATGGACGTTAATAATGACAATAATTTATGCATGTGTATGCATGTACAGTACACAGCAGGTACTACCACTGGGAATACTAACACAAATTCGGATGTGTGGAGCAAAATATTTTCCCATCTTTGCTCCATTATATCTTCATTTCTGATTAGATCCTGCACTATGAAATTTGCATGGGTGTGGTAATAGCTCTTTATTTCTGAAATTAATCTGCAAAACTAGTTTGGAGATGCAATGTGCTTCTTTTTCTCATTACTAACACCTATTTAATATTATTATGATTTTTAATATTAGTTATACAAGTAATAATAATAATAATATTTTAAGTGGTTGTAAACCTCAGATATGAACAAAGCACCTCCTCTTATTGTGTGCACCTATCTCTATCCAAAGCACTGAGGGTCATTTCACTCTGCTGCCTAGTTCCTCTACCATCAGCATGAGTCTCATCTGATTTTTAGATTAGGTTTTTTTGACACTAGAGAAAAAAAGGTGACAGGGCAGGACAGCTCCAGCACAGAGCCTCATATCTTTAGCTGATATCCTTAGTTTTGCATGTTCTCCATGTACTGTGCGAAGGGGATATGTCCCTTTCCTCCATTCAGGTTTTAGAGCTGTTCTCACTGAGACTGGTGCCATGAGAGTTCAACTCCCCGCTCCCTGCTTTTCAGAACTGAGAGATCCTTTGTAAATTCTGGACTTTAAAAGGCTGTAGAGGACAGATGGCGGCAGATAAACAGGTACAACTTATGTAGGAGGATTTGTTTCATCTCTGTGTATCACCTGATGCTAGTAACTTCACTGGGTATATGTGAGGGTTTTCAACCACTTTAGGTGCCTACCTCCACCCTCTGCTGTGAATCCTGTTTGCCTGATAGTACATCTTAGGTACAACAGAATGGCAGATTTCCATACTGCAATGTCAGGGCACATTTTTTATTGATGCACCGATATATTGGCTGCCAAAAATTATCGACTGAGAATAGGGTTACCGGCGTTTTGGTGATAGAAAAAAAAAGGTGCTGATAATGGTATTGACTTCAATGCAAAATCACGTCCCATTGACCTCAATGCACAATCACATCCCATTGACCTCAATGCAAAATCATGTCCCATTGACCTCAATGCAAAATCACGTTTTACTGACTTTGATGCAAAATCACGTCCCCATGACTTCGATGCAAAATCGTGTCCCATTGACGTCAATGCAAAATTACATCCCATTGATTTCAATGCAAAAACACCTCTATTTAAGATTTTTTTATTTGATATATATTGCATTTTATTTTCTGTCCAGTTTTTTGTGTGTTACTTTTACAAAGTTATTGTACATTACTGGATTGTATTTTTTAAATTCATATTCATATACATTCATGATATTAGTTAAAAAAAGTCGAATATAATACAATAATATATAAAAAATATATTTTTTATTAAAAAAAACTGCCTATTTCGGTTTACGGTCAAGTGCATTCTGAATTTTTGGTTTTGGTCCAGAATTTTCATTCCGCTGCGGTTCAAGTCCTCTAAGCTATGACTGAAGAGAGGGAGTGATCACACACAGGTCTAAATTTCTTGATATCGTCTACATGTACCAAACTGCTGGTGGCATGGAGACCACATAAACAGTATATTTTTTTTCTGGAACATAATGTGAGCGGTTCACTGTTCTACTTTAGATGGGACAAGCCTTTACACAGAACCTAGAAGTCATTTTATGATCACTTACCCTGATGGTTTGTGTCAGGTAGTTAAACACAGAAACTATTAATGTGAACTTCTCTCCTCGTACAGCGGAGTATGGCAGGGTGAGGTCCAGGAAGAAAGGTTGGAAAGTCACCATTGACACTGGTTCTGCAAGCCCAAAGCCTGCTTCCTCTGATGTACAGAACATCCCCATGTTCCATGTTGTTATGGTGTCTGGTACTGTCAGTTTCATGGCAGCTTGTCCAACATTACTGCAAGAGGAAAAGATCATGTCATTCTATACACCCCTCCAAACAGCACACAGTAATGCCCACAGAACGCCTATGATGCCCTCTAGCCTAAATATAAAAAATAATAAAAGCAAGCAGCTACAATGAATAATTGCATTTCCATGTTCTGTGTACTGTGGGAGACCAGATATAGTGAATGCAGGCTCCTGGGTTTGGTAACACTTAAAGTTCCTTTTCAAAGAATTTTGTTACAGATGATACTGAATTGCTCAAATTCAGCTATAACTATGCCATATAACTGGCTAACAGATTGTTACTTACTCTATTTCTACTAAGTCCCAAATCCACGTTTCAGGGAAAAACTTCCTGACAGTTTCCACTAACTGTTCTTCCACAGTCTGTGCTCCCACTCTCCTCATTGGAGCACCAGTCATCATGAATGCCATGCTTGGCTCAGCCATTGCTATGGGAGAAAAGGCAACATTGGACATATGTCTTTCTTGCTTAAACATACCTATGGCAATTTATTACAAAAAATAGGACCATTCAAAGAACAGCTTTTCCAAATTCTTATGGCATCTTAACTGACAGTTATTGTAGTGTTTACCTTCAAATAATTTTTAAAGTAGACCTGAACACAAAATCTGCTATGTTGTATAGTAACATTTGGAAAAATTAGTGACTAATATTAGTGACTGATGAAGTCACGACGCACGTGACGCAACGCGTCGGTTCGTCATTTCCTGGTGACGCATGTCCGGACGCCGCGGCCATATTGGATTCCCCCAAGTGCATGCAGATTTACCCATAGGCTGTGGTAAAAACGCTTACTGATGAAGAGGACCATGTGAGTGGAACGTTTTGTAGTTTTACCTTTTTCCTAATTAAATATACTACACTACGGAAAGTTTTCTTGTCTTTCTATGAGTTGAATAAGAGAGGAGGAGAAATAAGGAGTCTGCCAGAGGAGATACACCATTGAGGTGGTAACTGCTTTTGGGCCCTGTGTGGGTCAAGGAAGGGAGGTGAGCAGGCATTGCTGCCATTTGGAGGAGAATATTTGCACCTAGAAGTGGAGATCACGTGTGTTTTTTAAAAAAGCACAGTCACATGCATGGACATTTTTTCTGTTTCACTTATGATTTATATGTCATGTGTATGAATTAGGCACTATTTCATGTTTCACTTATATATTCACATTCCGTTATGAATTTTGATATATGCACGTTATAATAGGTTTTAAAGTGTGTGCTATTATTATAGTTTAATTATATTTGGATGCATTATTTTTTTCCCCCACCAGAGGGAGGCATTAATATCTATTACATAGAGTTGTTACACAGGATTATTAGAATTATATTTAAATTAATTCATCTTTATTTTTTAATGCACTTTACTGTATTTATGTGATATAAGCGCTTCACTATTTTTTCTTTTTCTTTTTATTAGTGACTAAGTAGCAACCTGAAATATACCTTGTTTGAAAAACACCAATTATGTTAGTGTTGCCAGGCACTCCTGTGGCTACAGCTTCATAGCTGTATATCTGTAGTGTGAGATCTTAAGTACTGTCGCCTCTGACTGCAACTCTTTTGGAATGAGATTTAGTTATGTCACTACTGTGCTGTTCATTGCTCTCCTTGCTAGAGGCTCTGAAATGAGGAAGAAAAACTCTGCCTGTACCAAGATGGCAGCCTGGATGCAGTGGCACAGTACAGCCATGGTAAGCCAGTTATGGGCACAGCTTCCAGAGTTCAGCTCTTTAGTGTAACCTTCAGATTTCTAGCCCAATGCACAATGGTATTAAATACAGATAAAGAGATACAGGTATGTAGATTAATCACTACAGGGAGCTATGATCAGCCTCATTCTTAAAGTTCACCTTTTGACAAAAAATAATAAACACATTCTTTTCCAGGTAAAAAATGTGCATTTATTATTTTTTGTTGCAGGAGCCTGTAAAGTATTAAACGTACGGGATGTATGGGCAAGCAGATATACTGACCGGAAGAATCAATTAACTACCACGGTGCTCCACAACGCTGTGGTAGTTCATTGAAAGCTACAAATGGACAGACGCTAAGGCTGTTGGGGCTTGTAGTTCATTCACAGAACTCTGTGAATGAATGACACGGCCATGTGGGCGGAGCCCTGCACGGCCGCACTGTTTTTAAAAAGTGACAGTTTGTACAAGGAACTTCTCCCCATACTGCTGTCACAGGGAGGGGGGGGGGATCTGGCAAGGGCTGCAGCATTGGGAACATGGTACATGTTCCACCCTAAAAAACGGGTGGAACATGTAACATGTTACATCCTACAAACGGGTGGAACATGTAACATGTTACACCCTAAACATTTGTGGAACATGTAACATGTTCCCAAAAATGAAGTTATCCTTTAACAACTGTTGAGATGTCAGCCATACAGGAGCACAATGAGTTATCCAATAGATTTGTATTTTGAGTAGAAGCAGTAAAGTAAAACTAGTCCAGGAAATCCGGAAACAGAAGATGATGGAAAGCAATAATAATTCAAACTAAGACTGTATATTTCCCCAAACTATATGGTGCCATTATGGTGAAATGCATTGAAGTCCCTGGAGAAGGTGAACTGAGGTGGTTTTTAAGGGCATGATAGGCTTTAGATGGCTTCTGGGGGTTACAGACGCTTTCACTACTCTGTACCTGATGTTATGTCCAAAAAAATGGCTTCTCATTAGCCTCATTTTTTCCTTTTTTCACAAAAAGATAAATAACGAAACAATGGAAACATTTAAAAAAAATAAATAAAAACATACACAAAACACTAAAAAGAAACAAACTAAACTATTCTAACTCTACTACCCAAAAAAGCACACCCTCCTAAACAAAAAAACTAGTAGTTGTTTTTCTTTTGCAAACAATTTGGCCCCAAGCAGCTTGATGAGCAAAACTAAAAGTTTCTTCTTAGCAAAATCAATCATTTCACCTCAAAATAAATTTAGCTGAAATCATTCGACTCATTCCTACTAATAAGCAGATACAGCTGCTTCTATGTACATGGACATACAGTAGGTATAAATGTAAATTATACACAGCAGTGATGTATTGGTACACATTGATGGCATTTTTTACATCAAACTGATCTCTTTTACATGTATATCTAGAAAAAAAAGCATTACATTCCTTTAATACTCAACAGTTTGAAGTCAGCTCTGGGAGCTGTTTTTATTTTATTCATTTGTTTATTTATTTTACCGTCTGAATATAGTAAAAAAATACAAGGGCATAATTAGTTGTTCCTGGATGTCAGAAGGGAGCTGTGCCATAATTGCCTCTAGACAGACAACACTACAAACTGCCAATCCACTTTTGAGGTAAAATATGTGTAGAATTATCTATGGTTAGAAAGGAAAATCTAACCTGGAGGTGTCTTCTATGCATCATACCAATAAATATATAAAAAGTAACAATAATATATTCTAAAATTTTAGTTCCTGCCCACACTGTAATGTGTATTCTCACACCATCAGTAATGAACCAAAAGAAAGTGTTGCACAACCATCAAATCATAAATCACAATATCTACACTGTATTAATAAAAAAAAAACGCACCTCCAAAACATGCGGCAATATAAACATATTTCACCTAATTTGACCTTTTGAAAACCTTAATCAAATTATCCTCCTGATGTGCAATGTACAGTGGGGCAAAAAAGTATTTAGTCAGCCACCAATTATGCAAGTTCTTCCACTTAAAAAGATGAGAGAGGCCTGTAATTGGCATCATAGGTAGACCTCAACTATGAGAGACAAAAAGAGAAAAAAAAATCCAGACAATCACATTGGCTGATTTGGAAAGAATTTATTTGTAAATTATGGTGGAAAATAAGTATTTGGTCACCTACAAACAAGCAAGATTTCTGGCTCTCACAGACCTGATAATCTCCCTCGATCTGGGGCTCCACGCAAGATCTCACCCGTGGGGTCAAATGATCACAAGAACGGTGAGCAAAAATCCCACGACCACACAGAAGGTCCTAGTGAATGACCTGCAGAGAGCTGGGACCAACGTAACAAAGGCTACCATCAGTAACACACTACGCCGCCAGGGACTCAGATCCTGCAGTGCCAGACGTGTCCCCCTGCTTAAGCCAGTACATGTCCGGGCCCGTCTGAAGTTTGCTAGAGAGCGTTTGGATGATCCAGAAGAGGATTGGGAGAATGTCATATGGTCAGGTGAAACCAAAATAGAACTGTTTTGGTAGAAACACAACTCGTTATGTTTGGAGGAGAGAGAATGCTGAGTTGCATCCAAAGAACACCATACCTACTGTGAAGCATGGGGTGGTGGCAACATCATGTTTTGGGACTGTTTCTCCGCAAAGGGACCAGGACGACTGATCCATGTACAGGACAGAATGAATGGGGCCGTGTATCGTGAGATTTTGAGTGCAAACCTCCTTCCATCAGCAAGGGCATTGAAGATGAAACGTGGCTGGGTCTTCCAACATGACAATGATCCCAAACATAGCGCCCGGGCAACAAAGGAGTGGCTTCGTAGGAAGCATTTCAAGGTACTGGAGTGGCCTAGCCAGTCTCCAGATCTCAACCCCATAGAAAACCTTTGGAGGGAGTTGAAAGTCCGTGTTACCCAGCGACAGCCCCAAAACATCACTGCTCTAGAGGAGATCTGCATGGAGGAATGGGCCATCATACCAGCAACAGTGTGTGCCAACCTTGTGAAGACTTACAGGAAACGTTTGACCTCTGTCATTGCCAACAAAGGATATATAACAAAGTATTGAGATGAACTTTTGATATTGACCAAATACTTATTTTCCACCATAATTTGCAAATAAATTCTTTCCAAATCAGCCAATGTGATTGTCTGGATTTTTTTTCTCATTTTGTCTCTCATAGTTGAGGTCTACCTATGATGCCAATTACAGGCCTCTCTCATCTTTTTAAGTGGGAGAACTTGCACAATTGGTGGCTGACTAAATACTTTTTTGCCCCACTGTATATTACATTACAAACAAATGAAGTAGAAAAATGAAGGTTCATAAAAAATGGTGACAAGAAAAATCTTATGATAAAGTCTCTTTAAATGTACTACATATGAAAGAATCTCTGTGGATAGAAAGTCCCACCACCTTTCACAATGTGCTCTCACCTTGCTGAGTGGACCTGTTTAGCTAAAAATAGGTTGCATGCGCTTTCCCCTTTGATAAAGTCACATGACTGTGACGAAACGGTGACAAAGCAAGCTGTCATGAAATCCCAATTGCTTGTATACAATGTAAAACAGCCACACAATTGGGTTTTATGGAGATTTATATTGATCTGTACAAATAAAAAATGACATGTTTGTTTTGTAACACAGTTGTATCTAATTGCCTCTAAAGTCTCAAATAGAGTTTTTTTTTTCTTTTTTTGATATTATCTATAGGGATGCTGACAATTTCAGAGCATTCTTATTAAA